CTTTACTATACTGCAACACAGTCCCGTTTTCAGCAGGCTTTCAAGTCCCAGCCACTGACAACCAGTGATGTGGATGTCGCACGTTTCACCAAGTGTTGGTTTTGAGGGTTAGATTGGGATATTGTATTTTGGATCCCCTACGTATCAGCAGTTAATGGTTGTCAGTTACTCTTGGAACAGATGTGACAAGCCCTCTAAACGTTCAAACACTCAAGAATATTTGCTTTTAATAGGTTGAATGACATTCTTGTCTTTATAGTTTCTCTGAATTTCACTGTACAACAAATTGCATAAGCCTTTGTCAGGGAAAGTAAGGTACTATTTGTTAATGCCAGTGCCTGGCTAGTTCCATCCCCACACTGTTTGGCATTCTATGTGGCACTGAGGGCAGAATTCACGTCACTGTGTTGGCACAGAGTTTGACTCATTCAAGGTTGCTCCTTGATTTAATGGTGATGCATTTTTTAAGTGCATCATCTCTCTCTCTGCGTAGCACCTAGTTCATCTCTGTCACAAACACTGCCTTTCCATCTCACCTTTAGCGGTAGAGGTAGGAGGAGAGGTTCTAGAGATATAAATCAATTGAAAACTAACCCCCAGCTCAAAAACATGCCGACCCTGATTGTTTCATCGCCAGAATATCCAAGGCGGGGTAGCAGCTGAGTAGTTTAAAAGTAAACATGGCACTGTATACATTAACTGGTCATGAATCATAATTACCTTTATTTACATGTTTAGATATGTTTTTTTTTCTGTACTTGAAATGGGGCCAAACATATTCAGACAAGGGAGCTGGCTCAGCCTCTTCTCCTCTCGTTGGCGATACATAACCGTAGCAGGGAAATACAGAGCTAAGTGTCCCTGCTGATTGGAGGCTTGATAACACAGGCGATGGGTAGAGGAATGTGTGAGAGGCATGTAATCCGCTTAAGCCTCATGTAATTTACAGGAGCCAATGGATCCTTCACTTAAAAACGTCAATACTTACTTAGGTGTCTGCTTTGGATCGTTCAATTTCACACTTACCATTGTTGCTACGTATGAATGATTCAGCCCTACTTAGTGTAATGTGTAAATATAATAGTGTCTAGTTGGCTGTGTACCTATTACGCTAAATTGGTTCATTATCCCTATGATCAAAATGTGAATTTGATTAAAATGGTCAAAATGTCCAATTAAAAATGCTTCCTCAAGTCACCTTTATGGAACATTTGATTCATGGCTTGATTCTCTTTATTCTATTGAAGCAATAGGTAGAGTGGTAGTCGACCTGCTTTGAGTTACAGTGAAAGCTGTTGAAAACAGCCATACAGTGTACCAGCTGACAACGTGAACATGTAAAAATAGCTTCAGAAACTGTCTTAATGAATATAATGTGAGAATTTGTAGTTGTGGAAGCCTACTGTTCCAGAGAGAAGCATAGACAGATGTTCATGTGGTGGTCCAATTGCGCTCAAATTACATCAAATATGAATTCTCTCCATACAGTTGAATGTTGAATAGAATGACGTCCTTCTCCAAATGGCAACAATTTGCCTGGAACTGAGTGACAAAAGTTTAGCATGTCAAATATTGCTGCACGAGCAGTTTGAAAGGATTAATAGAGCGTAAACTTAATTTCATGTTGCCACAATTGATTCTATTCATATGGGCTAAATAGTATTGTTCATTTTGCAGCATATTTAGGGGCGAAGTGTTCATACCTAGTTCTGCCCAGGGGCATTAATTCAGACTAATGAAACGATCCTATCCTCTGTGGCTTTTTAATCTATTCACTGGGAAAGTAATTGACAAGCCACAGTATGTGCATTGGGATAGCTCCATCACCTAAGGACAGCTGTCACTAAAGCAATTAAAATGACAAAGTTTAATTAATTCTCTCTAGTTTTACCTGATATGAGACATTCACAATGAGTGAGCTTTCATTTCCAGGATAGTAATAACGTTTGGACAGAGCAATTCATTTGTAATTCAAAAACCACAAGCCATTGTCTGATAAAGCTTTAATATGTCAGTATTTCACACAGAAATTAACCTCACAGATTCAAACCAAAACATAACATGAATTCTGAAAATAGTACTCTGGAATTTGATGCTAATACTCAAATAAGTAATTTGACATCCCCATCTGATTATCTGTTTATGAGTGATATGCTATTTGGTCACTAATATAGATGTCATATCAGATAAAGAGCTAGGCTAACCAAGTGTCCCTAGCCCTACATACAGTATGTGAAGGACTGCAACAAGCATGATACTTAGCAGGCTTTTAGCTTAGCTTCTTGAAAAAAGACCAAGGCACAATTAATTACGGAGCCAACTACCTCTGACACCAGGAGAGCCAGATCCCAAGAACTTTTTAATCCACCTAAATGTCAAGGTAACGTTTACAGCTCTCCTCCTCCTCCCAGTCTCCAATGGCTGCCAAAAGGCCAGTGGTTAGTCATCTGTTTACTCCTGCAGCTACTGGGTGTCATTGGGAGTCTGAAGGAGAAATCCCCTGATTCTCTCTGCCATTTGTGACATTTCCCCCCCAGACCACATTAATCAGGAAGTTCTCTGAGAGCAGGAGGAGACCAGAGGCTTGGTGTATGGCTCTGGCCCAGGTAAAACTGCCCCAACGGACTGGATCTAGGATGGGGGATAATTCACTCATCAAAAGCCTTGTGTTAATCATGCAGTAGTATATTACAGATAGAGAGTTTCATTCATAGAAATGGTGCCAGATAGAGCATAGACTCAGAACCAAGTGCAACTATCGGACATGGTCCATCTAAAACAGTGCAATTTGATTCATATATATTTCAAATAAATAATAATTAGCCATAACTCAAGTACAGTATAGTGTATTCCACAAAATGAAGACAAGTGTCCAGTTTGGCAACATATTTAACTGACTTTATACAGAAAATGACTCTATAAAAATGGAAGACCCACTCAAAAAAAGTCATCTGAAACATTTGTCATGCAGTAGCCATGATGGCAGATAACTGCTCTCAATTTATGAGTCAAATGTTAATGCTTATTTCTGTCAGCTCTGTTCATGCACATCACAAATCCCTGTTCACATAGGCCCCTCTCTTCACAGGAAACACACCCTATTTCTTATAAAGTACCTTGTCAAATCTTGCATTCCATGTAATAGTTGACTAGTTAGACGTACAATGCAAACCGCATAAAGAACTATACCTCAAGGTGCCTATCAAACCCAGACATTATGTTCTTACACAATGACGATCACAGGGATGGTTCTCATAGATGTTTCACAATCAGCTACAAGCATCACATTTACATAATGAAAGCTTAATGGCCAAATCGAATATCCAGTATCATTATCGTATAGTGTTATTACATCATCATCATCCAGAATTGCGTTGTTGGTGTCAGAAATGGGATTATATGGTTGTTATAATGTGTGGAGAGATGCCCCTGCAGTTTAATGCATGTCCTTTGGCAAGCAGCACATTTTATGCTGTACCTTCCTTTGATTTCATTGATTAAATTTTTAGAGTGAACAGAGTGGGGACTCTTTACTGTGTATTTTGTCATGGGGCAAACATACATGGTTATTTTTTAAATATTGAAATTCAATAATGAATGAAAGTCCCTCCATTGATCTGATTTACTCTACATTAACTTGTGTTGGATAGGATATAACTGATGGCAAGAGATCGCTATCAACATGGTATCCATGTCAGAGCTGAAAACCATTGCTAATCTTTTTTTTTTAATCTACCAAAAACAATGTACACTGAGTATACAAAACATTAAGAACACCTGCTCTTTCCATGATATAGACTGACCAGGTGAATCCAGGTGAACGCTATGATCCCTTATTGATGTCATTGGTTAAATCCACTTCAATCAGTGTAGATGAAGGGGCAGGAGACAGGTTAAAGAAGGATTTTTAAGCCTTGAGACAATTGAGGCATGGATTGTGTATCTGTGCCATTCAGAGGGTGAATGGGCAAGACAAAATATTTAGGTGCCTTTGAACGGGGTATGGTGATAGGTGCCAGGTGCACCGGTTTGTGTCAAGAACTGCAAGGCTGCTGGGTTTTTCATGCTCAACAGTTTCCTGTGTGTATCAAGAATGGTCCACCCCCCAAAGGACATCCAGCCAACTTGACACAACTGTGGGAAGCACTGGAGTCAACATGGGCCAGCATACCTGTGGAATGCGTTGAAACCTTGTAGAGTCCATGCCTTGATGAATTGAGGCTGTTCTGAGGGCAAAAGGGGGTGCAAACTCAATGTTAGGAAGGTGTTCCTAATGTTTGGTATACTCAGTGTATATCTGTAGGAATATTTTTTTTTTTTGAGTTGCTCTTATTAAATGTAGCCTAGATCCTAGATGCCTCCAATTTAGTGTGTATTTTCCCCATGTTGATGTTTCAATAATTCACTGAGACTGAAAAAGAAACAATTTTGAAAGGATCTGTATTTCTGGCTGTCATACAGATACAAACATGTAATGAAATAGATGGCAAGTCTTAATGCATTCTGACATCTACTTATTTCATTTCCGTTTTGTGATCACCAGTGACAAACAGAAATGGACAATGAGAGCGATGGAAAATGAAAAATGCTATTCCATCAACACACAGAGTTCAATTAGAAGAAGAAAACAGTTTCTAATAGAATAAAGTGGGCTTTCTGTTATTATGTACATAATGACAAATCTTCAGGGAGGGCTCCGGGTACTTTGATATAGCTACTATAGAGGGTCAAAATACATTAGTAAAAATATGCCAAGCCAGGAAATGTTGCGTCCTAAATGCTTGTATAATGGCCATAGGGAAGGTCTGCTCAGTGTAGCGATCTCACAAGCAGCAGGGATACATTAGCTTTAATAATACCTTTTAACAGTTCTGTTCCGACAATACAGCATTCCCCCCTGTTCTATTGAGGGCCGTGCCAGCCTAGCTCAAATCAACTGACACCTCTCAGGATCGAATGCCCTGTCTGTCTCTGTTCCTTTCCCATAGCCGCTCAGCCAATCACCCGGTGGGGAGGTAGGGAGTATCGCTGTGGTAGTTGTAATCCGGACACACTTTCTGCACCAGCTTGTAGTCGGTGCTGTAGAAGGAGATGTAGATACAGATGACTTTGAAGGGCTTGGAGCACAGCCAGGACACATGGCTCTGGGTCTGCTCCTGAGGGCAGCTCTGCGAGGGGTCGTGGGAACACAGCGACTTCCTGGTGCCCTTCTCCACCTTCTCATACTCCACCCTACAGTTGAACAGCTTGGTGTCTTTGGGCTCGAGGACCGTCGACTGCTGCAGCTGGAACTCCACGGCCTTGGTTGGCGGCACCAGCCCCACCGACACGTTGCCCTGGCCCGTGGCGTTATGGCGGAAGTAGACGCTGAACGTGCCGTTGCCGTGGTCTACGATCTTCCCGGTGATCAGCAGGTTGAGCTTGACTGTCTTGATGTTGGAGTGGAAGTCGCCCCAGCCGAACATCTTCTTGAACTTGCCCGTCTTGACGATGGGTCTCCTCTTGGATCGGGAGCGAGCGTCATGGAGGCTAGAGGTGTTGTGGAGCCAGTCCCAGAGCTCCTGTTTAGAGTACGGTTCCAACTTGTCATAGTTCAGATCCAGGCCAGACAGGTTCTTGTCATAAAAGGTCTGGGAGAGCAGGTGACTGATGGATAAGTCCTTGCTGGAGTCTGTTGTCCAGAGGTCCTTAGCTCTTGACTTTGGGCTCTCTGACTTCAGAACGTCTGAGCTTCCAGAAGCAGATGAATGGGCACTTGTAACCTGTGGAAAACAAAGAGACATTACAATCCTATTTCAATTATGAAACACAACAGGCATGCCATGAATGGAATAAACCATACAAAAATAAGCCTGCTGTGTAGGATAAAAAGTGATCTGTCCTTGATATGTCATTGTTTTGTTATACAGTGAGGGAAAAAAGTATTTGATCCCCTGCTGATTTTGTACGTTTGCCCACTGACAAAGAAATGATCAGTCTATAATTTTAATGGTAGGTTTATTTGAACAGTGAGAGACAGAATAACAACAAAAAAATCCAGAAAAACGCATGTCAAAAATGTTATGAATTGATTTGCATTTTAATGAGGGAAATAAGTATTTGACCCCTCTGCAAAACATGACTTAGTACTTGGTGGCAAAACCCTTGTTGGCAATCACAGAGGTCAGACGTTTCTTGTAGTTGGCCACCAGGTTTGCACACATCTCAGGAGGGATTTTGTCCCACTCCTCTTTGCAGATCTTCTCCAAGTCATTAAGGTTTCGAGCCTGACGTTTGGCAACTCAAACCTTCAGCTCGCTCCACAGATTTTCTATGGGATTAAGGTCTGGAGACTGGCTAGGCCACTCTAGGACCTTAATGTGCTTCTTCTTGAGCCACTCCTTTGTTGCCTTGGCCGTGTGTTTTGGGTCATTGTCATGCTAGAATACCCATCCACAACCCATTTTCAATGCCCTGGCTGAGGAAAGGAGGTTCTCACCCAAGATTTGACGGTACATGGCGCCGTCCATCGTCCCTTTGATGCGGTGAAGTTGTCCTGTCCCCTTAGCAGAAAAACACCCCCAAAGCATAATGTTTCCACCTCCATGTTTGACGGTGGGGATGGTGTTCTTGGGGTCATAGGCAGCATTCCTCCTCCTCCAAACACGGCGAGTTGAGTTGATGCCAAATAGGTCGATTTTGGTCTCATCTGACCACAACACTTTCACCCAGTTCTCCTCTGAATCATTCAGATATTCATTGGAAAACTTCAGACAGGCCTGTATATGTGCTTTCTTAAGCAGGGGGACCTTGCGGGCGCTGCAGGATTTCAGTCCTTCACGGCATAGTGTGTTACCAATTGTTTTCTTGGTGACTATGGTCCCAGCTGCCTTGAGATCATTGACAAGATCCTCCCGTGTAGTTCTGGGCTGATTCCTCACCGTTCTCATGATCATTGCAACTGCACGAGGTGAGATCTTGCATGGAGCCCCAGGCCGAGGGAGATTGACAGTTATTTTGCGTTTCTTCCATTTGCGAATAATCGCACCAACTGTTGTCACCTTCTCACCAAGCTGCTTGGCGATGGTCTTGTAGCCCATTCCAGCCTTGTGTAGGTCTACAATCTTGTCCCTGACATCCTTGGAGAGCTCTTTGGTCTTGGCCATGGTGGAGAGTTTGGAATCTGATTGATTGATTGCTTATGTGTACAGGTGTCTTTTATACAGGTAACAAACTGAGATTAGGAGCACTCCCTAATCTCAGCTCGTTAACTGTATAAAAGACACCTGGGAGCCAGAAATCTTTCTGATTGAGAGGGGGTCAAATACTTATTTCCCTCATTAAAATGCAAATCAATTTATAACATTTTTGACATGCGTTTTTCTGGATTTTTTTGTTGTTATTCTGTCTCTCACTGTTCAAATAAACCTACCATTAAAATTATAGACTGATCATGTCTTTGTCAGTGGGCAAACGTACAAAATCAGCAGGGGATCAAATACTTTTTTCCCTCACTGTATACCAATAGATCATACGTTAACTGTAGGTCTGAAATGGCAAAAAAGTCAATTCCCATTTGAAATTCAGTGATGCTGAAGGTTGTGACTAATGGCTATAGAAAGAATATGAGACAAATGCAGTGCATGACACAATTGCCTCATATGAACACAGTGTCCTTTATGAAGAGTAAGGACATTTCAATCCTGCCATACATATAGATGAATGAAGCGTTTTTTCAGTAGCCTACAGACGTGATGCAACAGCAGACTATTACCTGCTGAATGTGCCCTGAACGGTTGATTGATGATTCCTTTACTCCAGCCCTTATAATAATACAGATGAGAGGGCTAAGATTCCCCCTGCACTTCATGAAGAATGGTGACAGTGATGGCCTATCCTCAACTGTGGAACGTGACAGCAGATCTGTCTAGGCAAAGCCTTACATTTTGTACCTTTACCCCAGATCAATACTGGGAGAATAAGGTCTTCTCTCTTTCACAAAGTTCACTGGATGGCATTGCGGTAGTGTAGTCAGTATATTGCAACAGTTATAGTATGATTGCATGTTGGATTTGGACATAGAATACTTACTTTGAAAAAGATCAAATCTGCTTAGTGGTGCTAAAGCCTAATTTCAATCTCATCTTTGTTTTTGACTTCATACAATGAACAAAAATAAATGTGTAGTGCAAAAGAATTGTGCAAAAACCTACTTATAATCTGGCAGCCTGATTTAATTTCAAACTTTTATTCAACAATGTGCGTTATAAAGGGGCAACTATTTATGTCTTGTTCAGTTTACTAAACTCTAGTTAAATAATCACCTCCTCATAACGCACATTGTTGAAGAAAGCTTTTAAATTAAATTACACTGCAAGAATATAATGACGTTTAAGGTATTTTTTACACTTTGGACAATTATTTTGCACTAAGAATGTTATTTTACTCTACATTTGCATTCTCCGTATGAAAAGAAATAGGAAAGGTTGAGTGGTTCAGTTTCATTGAATAGGAAGTATGACCCATAATTCAAATAAGCCCCATTTATTTCCCAAGGCTTTCTCTTTCCTGATTCATTAGCAGTGGGGTCTCCAATGACCAAATCAAATATAGTTTTCACAGAGCTGTAATTACCTGTGCTGCTAAATGACTGAAGCTCAATCTCAATGGATTCCCCCTACTCGGAAGGACTGCCAACAATTTTTTTTATTCATTTAACCTTTATTTAACCAGGAGAAAGACTTGAGGTTAGAAGCTTCTTTTGCGAGGGCGACCTGGAAAGTAACAGCTTTAGTTTTCCCTTTAAGGATCTCACAACATATAGCCCATTTGGTTGATTCAGACATGTTTCTCCTAAGCAATCACATGCACAATTACACTGTATAGGGTACATCATTTCTCAGTTTCTCTTGAGAGCTAGCTTGGTCCTTGCTGTCTTGTCATGAGCGTATTTATACTGGGTTCAATACTGACATGCAATTAGCTTTCATCTGAAGCACCTGACAGCCTGTGCAAACTGTCATGGTCGGGATTAGAGGGCTCCGTGTCACATTCACAGAGACCCCAATTCACGGATTATAACCAACCTGTAATCCACACTACAGAGATTAGGCAAATCAAGGCACTCCTGACTAAACCAACATTTACATCAAGGCAGCCTTGTCTGAGGAAACAGAGGAAAGGCCAAAATGACCTCGCTCTGTTTGAGACAAAGAAGACAGAAAATGATTTGGTGTTAAATTGAGGTGGAGAAACAGGTTGTCACCAACAGCTGTACTGGGGTGAATTTGAAAGGTTTAAGGCATTGCTCATCAGCCAGTTCTAAATCTCACTTTTTTTCAATCTTACCTGTGGCCTCAAACAAACCAGAATTCCTGCACATGATTACACAAATACTGGGATGATTTTATCATCGAGAACATACCTTATTGAAACCTTATAGGAAATACCCCAGTGAGTCCTATTGAAAATACCCATAGACATAATGCGTGGTATACACAGTAGGTGGATGGACCTGAATGTTATATATTCCTGTTACGGCATCCTTTCCCTAGAGAGAGGAAGATAAAGTCTGGTCCTGTACAGTAGCTTCCCTTGTGAAGAGGAGGATATGCTATAGGTTAAAACCCTAATATAGCAACATTTCTTGTTTTGATAAGACAACCTTGGTAGCTAAAAAACACCTAGGAGAGACTTTTAAAAATGTGTGAGCTTTCATTCACTGAAATGGTACTGCAGCTGGAACTCTTAGGGGTGTTTCTGAGGCAGACTAGTCTCTTCCGACAGACTTTTACCATTTTAGCAACTACATTGAGTGAATTCTGGGTGCTGTGATTAGAGTCGACACTTCCGGTTAAACGGTCATTAGAGCTGGAATGGTTGGAACCAGCTATCTCTATTCCTATTCAAAGCAACAATGTCGTCCATCTGACATCTTGTTTGGGTTGTTTCGAGTTGTTTGTTTACCATAACTTGTCTCAGTATTTTGTATTATAGTGAAACAAAATTGCACCATGTTGATGCATCAATGTAAATCCAAGAATCATGGCCATTCCACCCATTCTATTTAGCATATAAAGGATCTTCACTGACATGACATAATTGAGTTCCCTTTCAACTCTCAGCTACCATATGTGCCTAAATTAATCTCAGAGAGCACTTTACAGCACTGGTCAATCAGAACCATTCAGAATCTGTGAGTCCGCAGGGACATGATTCCATAGTTCAGTGAGCAGAATGGAATTGGATCAAAGCGCAGTAAGACTGTACACATCTCCAGGGATATGTTTTAGGGCAGAGATGGCCTACCCTTCTTCTGGAGCGCTACTCCCTGCAGGGTTTTGTTCCAGCCCTAATCTAACACACTTGATTCTACTAATCAGTAGCTCTCCTGGGAGAGCTGGCCATCACTTCTTTCGGGGATCGTATGGTTGTGCTGATATCCAAATTGATCTTGGAAAATGTAGGATTTTATTTCTCTGATGTTTTCATGGATCAACTATAGCATTCTCAGAGATGAACAGAGATCAACGTGAAATCACCAGAAAGCGTGGTCTCCATGTTAACCCCACTGTTACCTGAGGGGTAAAATATTATGAGCTTTAGAGTGAGGCATCTCAAGACATCTCAAATAGGTGTGAAATAGAATGGAAGACTATCAAAGATATAGCACCATTTGGAGCGACTAGGGCAGTACGGTATTATCGCCATGACTTCTGTAGAGAATCAAAATGGTCAGCGGTTGGACTAAGGTTATTATTGTGACAAAAAAAACGACTAGCCACTAGCTTCTCCAACTCACCCAAAGGATAAATACATAATCATATTATTTCACACACGAGTTGGTTCAAAGGCGTCCAAAATAAGTTTGCGAGGTTCCCATGGGTCTGTCAATCTGTCGAAGGAGCTGGAGGCTAGAGCTTAGGATGCGCCGAGCACGAAACAATTATGAGCACCCCATTAAAGCATGGCAAAGCAATTTGGAGGCAAAGCCTGGAAAAACATTCACATCAAGTGGTACAATTGAGAGTAAACACTTTCTGTACATCTAACGCTTTATGTTTACAATACTGTAATGACATTTTACAGTAATATAGCATTAGTTTAATTTAATTGCATCATATTCCACTGAATAAAAGTGTCCCTTAAAAAAGGAAAGCCTTCATTAGTTCAGGGGATAAAATGATTAGTGAGCCTAGTCAAGTGTGAAATTGAGTTTATAATTTTCAAGACTGCAAATTCAATTCGATAATGGGAATTAAGTCGTAGAAATAATTATTCATAATTAACTTATTTCAATCACTATGCAAATTAAGTGCTGATAACCCAAGGTAACTATTGAAGATTAGTCAACTTTGTGGGATTAAATCAAAATAATTAGTAAGAGACAACTGGGCCTGTTTCTCTTGTTTGTCTGTTGACAGATGTACCTCATGCAGGGTTACTGTGTACCAGAAGATTAACAGCACTGGGTTGTCAGAAACTGTGATGGTGTAACAATGAAGATATTATGTCAAGCTTATCAAAAGGTGAAATGTCAAGCACTATTACTTTTCAACTGAATTGAGTGACTCAAATGGGAGATTAACCTGAGTTGATTGATTAAAATTAGATCTACAACCATTGGAATGTGAATGACAAAATGTTTCCCTCTGCACACAACACAATAGTACATCTATTAAAACAATAGATGAGTTAAAGATTTAAAGGGAAATTTCACAATTGTTCAACTTCATATTCATCATCTTCAGCACCACCCCAACATCAACATATGTGAAAATGGTGTGTTTCTATGTTTTGTAGTAAAAAAGATAGAGGAAGATAAGTGTTTCCAATGACATCATCGGTGTGCATCGTGTGATTTTAATCAATTATTAGTAGGCATTGGTTGATGATGTCATTGGAAAGACTTATCTTCCTCTATCTTTTTTACTACAAAACATAGAAACGCTCCATTTTCACATATGTTGATATTGGGGTGGTGCTGGAGATGATGAATATGAAGTTGAAATATGGTGAAATTTCCCTTTAAGAGTAAAAGAAAAGACTGGTGCTCTCCAAGGTGCTGAAAAGTATACTCAAAATATGTACAGTGAGGGAAAAAACTATTTGATCCCCTGCTGATTTTGTACGTTTGCCCACTGACAAAGAAATGATCAGTCTATAATTTTAATGGTAGGTTTATTTGAACAGTGAGAGACAGAATAACAACAACAAAATCCAGAAAAACGCATGTCAAAAATGTTATACATTGATTTGCATTTTAATGAGGGAAATAAGTATTTGACCCCCTCTCAATCAGAAAGATTTCTGGCTCCTAGGTGTCTTTTATACAGGTAACGAGCTGAGATTAGGAGCACACTCTTAAAGGGAGTGCTCCTAATCTCAGCTTTTTACCTGTATAAAAGACACCTGTCCACAGAAGCAGTCAATCAATCAGATTCCAAACTCTCCACCATGGCCAAGACCAAAGAGCTCTCCAAGGATGTCACGGACAAGATTGTAGACATACACAAGGCTGGAATGGGCTACAAGACCATCGCCAAGCAGCTTGGTGAGAAGGTAACAACAGTTGGTGTGATTATTCGCAAATGGAAGAAACACAAAATAACTGTCAATCTCCCTCGGCCTGGGGCTCCATGCAAGATCTCACCTCGTGGAGTTGCAATGATCATGAGAACAGTGAGGAATCAGCCCAGAACTACACGGGAGGATCTTGTCAATGATCTCAAGGCAGCTGGGACCATAGTCACCAAGAAAACAATTGGTAACACACTACGCCGTGAAGCACTGAAATCCTGCAGCGCCCGCAAGGTCCCCCTGCTCAAGAAAGCACATATACAGGCCCATCAGAAGTTTGCCCTTTGAACATCTGAATGATTCAGAGGAGAACTGGGTGAAAGTGTTGTGGTCAGATGAGACCAAAATCGAGCTCTTTGGCATCAACTCAACTCGCGTGTTTGGAGGAGGAGGAATGCTGCCTATGACCCCAAGAACACCATCCCCACCTTCAAACATGGAGGTGGAAACATTATGCTTTGGGGGTGTTTTTCTGCTAAGGGGACAGGACAACTTCACCGCATCAAAGGGACGATGGACGGGGCCATGTACCGTCAAATCTTGGGTGAGAACCTCCTTCCCTCAGCTAGGGCATTGAAAATGGGTCGTGGATGGGTATTCCAGCATGACAATGACCCAAAACACACGGCCAAGGCAACAAAGGAGTGGCTCAAGAAGAAGCACATTAAGGTCCTGGAGTGACCTAGCCAGTCTCCAGACCTTAATCCCATAGAAAATCTGTGGAGGGAGTTGAAGGTTCGAGTTGCCAAACGTCAGCCTCGAAACCTTAATGACTTGGAGAAGATCTGCAAAGAGGAGTGGGACAAAATCCCTCCTGAGATGTGTGCAAACCTGGTGGCCAACTACAAGAAACGTCTGACCTCTGTGATTGCCAACAAGGGTTTTGCAGAGGGGTCAAATACTTATTTCCCTCATTAAAATGCAAATAAATTCATAACATTTTTGACATGCGTTTTTCTGGATGTTTTTGTTGTTATTCTGTTTCTCACTGTTTAAATAAACCTACCATTAAAATTATAGACTGATCATGTCTTTGTCAGTGGGCAAACGTACAAAATCAGCAGGGGATCAAATACTTTTTTCCCTCACTGTATGCAGCATATACATTTACCAAACACTTGTGAGTAAAAAGGTATTTGGAAAAATGCTATGGCACAGGCAACATCTGTACATTTAGCTGGTAGCTAAATTTGATTTTGACTACATAATTGACAACAAAAACTAAACTTACCATAGAAATGAGTGACAGGAGAACAACGACGCACCAACATGTGGACTTCATTCCTCTTGGTAGTCCTTCACTTTTCATGCCAACCTGTACGCAAAACCCTTTCTTGAAAAAAATCTAATTGACTAGGTAGAAATTCCACAACTAGAGAGATAAATGAAAAAGAGAAACCCAAAACAGACCCTGGAGCAAATAGCAGGGATCAATCTTCAGATTGACTGAGGGTTGAAAATGAAACGCTCTGTCTATGTTTTGTCTATTGGAAGATATGAATGATACGTTCTTTGTCCCAGGATTAGTGGCGGTGTTGCGTGAATGGTAGTGCTTGTAGGTCTGATTGTCAGTGTGATGTGATGTTTTATAGAGAGAGAGAGAGAGAGAAGAAGAGAAGAGGGAGTGAGGAGAAGAGAGGGATAGATAGCAGTAAGGAACGATATATGGAGAGCGATATAAGATGATCTCGCTCTCTCTCGCTCTTCTAGCCTCTCTCTCCTATATCTCTCCCGCTCTCTCTTTCTCTCCCCTCGCCATGCTCTCTCTCCTTCTCTTCTCTCTCTCTCTGCTCTTCTCTCTCTCTCTCTCTCTTCCTTCTGTAGGCTGTTCTCCTCGGCGCGGCCGCCTTTGATGCCCCCTGAACGCGGGACAAAGAGAGCGGGGTTATCGCTAGAGAAAGAAGAGACCGCAAGAGAGCCTTGCAACATAACTTTTCATTTGTGTCTATAGAGACATCTAGTGGTACATCTAACGTAATGATAGTACAGTAGAAAGGCATTCATCAACATTTTCACTGTAACTTAGTATAACTGTAACTTAACATTTTCTTCATTTATTTTTAGTAATTCTTCCGATACATATATAAACAAACTCTACAAAATGACGGAGTCTTATCTTTTTTTACAACACACAACTTGCATCAAGAGAACCACCATCAGCAATATCATACACCCACTTTGCAATATTCAAACTAAACATTTCTGTGCAATACAAAATAAATGTACACATAAGTTGATATTTTTTTCAAAAAATTAACAAATGTTATTATTTACAAGGAAAACTAACAAAAAAGTAAACATTCTCCTCATCAGCTGCTCTTCTAGCTATCAGGCAGACTAGTCGAATTCTGCCACTGTAGGACAGCAGCGTCATATTTCCTCTGTATTCATATACTGTAATGAAGGTTGCTTAGATGGACCTCGATATATACAGAATATATGATGTAATATTGTACCTCAGGAGAATGACTGCATCATTATAATGTGTAAGGGCACCTATGATATGGGTCATTGTGAAAAAAGACATTTAAATACTCTTAAGTGAGAACTGAAAACAACTGCAGTGTTCCTACAGCTCCTAGAAAATAGTATTGTTTAACTTCCATCTAAATTCATCAATCATCAAATTCATCAATCATTCATCACATATCAACGACATACAGTTTAAACCTGTGCAGCACCCATTATTAAATATGTTGGTTTCATGAATGTATATGGTACTGTAGATGATCATTGACAATAAGGCAGAAGTTACGTTTGCGTGACATTAGAAGTTAGATAAAAGTACAATAGTAGCCACACACATCGTTTTAGCTTTAGAAGGGTTTTGTTTTTTGCGAAACATGTTATCTAAAAAAGAAGAAAATCCAGTTACCCATTTATCTTCCATCTACATATGGGCTATGTTTCCTATTTTGTACATTTAAACCATTGGAAATATCTCATTGTAAGCAAGAACAAAATCAATTGTCCTCAATTAAGTAGTCTGATGGATTTCATTTAGGCATAGAGAGGGAAATACCAAACAAACTATATAGACCACAAAAGATATGGGACCAAAAACAAAACCAATTGTGACAAAATAAAATCTATACATATTTACTATTGATTCACACCCCCTGTGTTATAAAATGTGGACATCATCTCCAGTTTTCATGTATCCATGGTGTAGTGTTCCATTGAAAATGCCTATTGTTTCCAACTGCATATGGTTGTTTCTTAAGAGAGGCAATGTTATATGGCAATACAAGGTATAAGTCATCATGTGCATTTCATGCTGCACTAATATAGTGCAATAATAGTACCTGAAACAAAGCAAAAGGGAGACAGGCAATAGATCCAGTAACCAGTGATCGTTTCTCATCTTGTGTTCTCTGTCTGTACGTTCATCCTTCAAGATAGGCCTCTGCCTAGGAATCAACCAGAAATCAAAAGTATCTCTTTGTTTGCGACTGAAGAAGGAGATTTCAGTCAAAATCCAGTTGAGGTTTGAGAAAGAAATCCGAGCCTTTTCATGGAGATTTTCTCCCCTTCCCTGCGGTGACTTTTGGCAACGTGCGAACCGTCAGCGCATCCTAAGCCTCCAGCTACTCAGCGTTTCAGTGACAAGCAGAAAACACGGCAAATAAATGAGCTTGTGCTGTTTGTGTTCAAAGACAAAACAGTTTGTCTCTTCACAGCAGCCCTTCCATCTGAAAGCAGTCTTTGCTGACAAATAAGGGGAAACAAAAAAAAGGCTTTTTCCTCGTAGTGAGTGGAGGCTGTGAAGGCTTTTGCGTAAGGAAATATCAAAAAAATAAAAGGAGAAAAAGGAGAACTGCTGCTTGAAATGGACTAACCCCAAATATGTCTAAATGGAGAAATGTTTCCTCAATTCCATATCTCCATTTAACTCATGGAGGACCCACAATGGATTCAAGATGGCCGTTGGTCTTCTTCTGATCTGCTGATGAAAACATCCCTGTCCTTCCTATGATGGGATATGTCTCTTTGTTTTTATGGCAGGTGTGGCAGGTCTCTGGAGGACTAGGCTATCCCAGAGTCCTACATGTCAGCGTCCCCATCATAGGCTAGGGTGAGAGGTTTCAATCGGTTGTTCATCTGCCTCTGTCTCTGTGGTTTCTTTGGCTTTTTGCTAAGAGGAAGAGTAGACAACATGTTACTACCCATGCCTTACAATCTATACACTACAGTGCAAGTAAAATACCACCAACACTAGAAAGTGGCATACTATTATGTCAGTTCTAACATATCGCTGTGATTGTTCCAAATGAACTATATCTCTATAAAACTGACATTTCGGAAGACATAGGCATATCAAAAATATAAAAAGCAAGTTAAAGGTATTAGTATGTTAATTTGCATTCATATCTGTGGCCATGCTTCACTTGACTTCTATGGCTCTGAGCTATAAAGTACCTTTTGTATCAGCTCTGACAATGCAAGAATATTACAGAGCTATTTAGCAAACATCACCATCCTAGGAAAAGAGAAGCACTACTGTTGTCCTGCAATCATTAATGCCTCAAAAAGATGCATGCATAAATGCTTACTTCTACTGCATGTGTCCATATTTCTTGATGGTAATGTGAACGTGACCATCCTCAACAATTGGTGTTCCGTGCATAACAAACGTAAGCAACATAATACATGTATGTGACAATGTATGGTAAATAGAGAATAAACAGGGATGAGATGGCAGAGGGGATTGGGTAAAAGCAGGGGAATGTTGCTCCAGCTCTAAAAGATAGTAGATATCTGTCATGGCCACCAGAGGGCAGTATGACATCATCATTGTGCGATTTTACATTCAAGAAAACAAATTAGTCTACAAGCACCGTTTCCCAAACTTGGTGTGCATGTTTTGGTTATTGCCCTAACACTACACAGCTGATTCAAATGATCAAAGCTTGATGATTAGTTGATTATTTGAATCAGCTGTGTAATGCTTGGGGGGGGGCCCAGGACCGAGTTTTGGAAATCCTGCTACAGGAAAAGGCCAGAATGACTCTTAATAGGGGTTGAATTAGTCAATGGTAGTCACATTAGTAGTCACTAACCCTGATCACAGATTTTGTTCCAGGCCAACACTAACACTCCTGAGTCAACTAATCTTAATCTTGAGTAGTTGATTAGTAATTGGGTGTGTCTGGAGACCACTGCTCTAATGGTTTAGGTTTATGATTTGGGGAAGGTAAGCTTATCCTAAAGTCGGAAGCCTACCTACGACCAGGTTCTATCCGGAGCCTACCACCTACAGTAAGAGGGACCCCTAGAAGGTGATTTCCTGGGACCTCACCTGCACCAGCAACTTCACACAGCTAGTCAAGCGGGACATGTCATGTGACACGGGTGGAGGGGTCACAGGTCAGGGGTCAACGATGGGCACTGCAGCTACTCGTATGGCCACCCACTTTTCCGCTTTAGCTGCTTCCCTGGCCACTGCTTTGGCCACTGCTTTGGCTACTGCTTTGGCTACTGCTTTGGCCCAATTCTTGGCAATCGGGGCACGTATAAGTCAACTCATGTGCATTTTGGCCCATCCAGACCACCGTCCCATTGGCGTTGGACTCGGTGGCCTGAGGATGGCGGCGGATGACACTGTAACTGCTGCTGGCGACAGATGGCATGAAGACAACAAAACAAATAACAACAAAACAATAAATAAACCAAAAAGATGAGGGGGTTGAACTGACTAACGACTAAATGAAGGGGTTCAAAATCTAAAATGTAATCGGACAAAACAAATCACTATGGGGATTTTTTATGAATGATAAAGGGATGGATGACTAAAAACGACTGAAAAAGGACAAGATCAGTGCGGACTCACCAAGCTAGGTATATCATAGACACTATGAATATGAGCAGCACCAGGGCTCCGGCTGCTACACCATACACCCACATCTTCAGCCTGCCATCTGTGGAGGAGGGAGGGCTGTCAGTTCAGCTGGCTACACGGCTGACTGTGTCAGTAACACAATCAGAATTGGGAAGAACAATTCATTTGTCCAGCACTTGCATCTAACGGAACTGGATTAAGGAAGGAACACAAGGTTGATGATGGCATCCTTTTGAAAGTAGTCTTCAGCGCTTTCACTTAGTTCCGCAATTTACAAAATGGACATGTTTTCGTTGATTAGCAATGCAAGGCAACATATGCCAGTTTCCATTCATTTCTGGCTTTGAAAATGTTGGTCTGAATTGTGCATTGAAGGACATGTTTAGACAGTCTCAATCTGTTGAAAATGGTAAGAGCCCAAGTTCCACTTACTGCCTCAGTGACATACAGCGCTCTAACCAGAAAGCACTATGTTGTTAACAAAGCATTTTGGTCTTTAGAAATGTTAAAGCAGTTCATATTAGGTAAGAGCATACAGGAAATTAGCATAATACATGGTATCTCCTGTATTGGCTACAATCCTGTTGCAGCATCTAACAAAACATCAGCCAAGTGCTTCCTTTTCATTTCATGCACTTATTTAGCAATAATGCAAGAGTAGCAGATCCAAACTGGTCCTCCATCACTTTACATTCTTGCTATATTTGCTATTGTCAGAAGAGTGTGCAGAAATGTAACTCTCTTAAACCAAAAGCTATAAAAGCTATTTACTGTGGTCGACGTAGCTGGATCTTGTAAGAAATAATGCCCCGCAGCCTCTATCATGGGTTTACTTTTTGTACCCTGCACCTGCAAGTTACTGAATGTGTGTTCCCTACTTCTACGCTAGTGACGTAGCTGGTTCACCTGGTCCAAAGGGCTGCAGGTACCAGGTGCGTCCGGTGCGTCCAGGCTGTATGGTGGCAGGCAGGGTGGGGTTGATGGCACGGCTGGTCTTCACGTCAGTCTTCTTGTCCCCGGCTGTGGGGATCTCCAGAACTGGGATGGGGGTGCACTGGTCCAGCTGGCCACTGGAGGACATCACCTCGGTGTAGCCCTCCTTCGCACATGCACATGCCAGCCTGGAGAGGGCAGTGTTACACAAATACAGTTCACCGCTGTGTCTGAATAGGTTACTATCTGTCAAATCCTTGGTTCCTTTGTCCTTGTTTCCTCAATTTCTTTCAAATCTAATTGGAGGAGGAGGTCAGAGGGAGGACCATGGATCCTCTCCTCTGATGCACTTTGAGAGGAATTGAGGAGACAAGGATGACAGCTAGTAATGCTTTCAGACACAACCACGGTTGTCAGCTTGTCACTATCTGGCCATGCTAGAATGGACTGAAGTGCAACGTGTTCAGAGCACAAACCTAATTTGAACCACTCTCACTAAACATAGATGACTACCCGTGAACAGCTCACCTCAGTAACAGAAGGACATTGGCATTTGACACGGTGGGCCACAGGAGTTGTTGTCATCCCCTGGAGGATTGATAGGGGGACATCCTCCTGTAGGTCAAAGGTCACCAAAGAAGGATCAGATGGCATGTGATTGGGCAGATCTTTAGACTTTGATGTCAACTATAATAAGGCATATGGAAAGAAGTACATTTATGCACCATTAAAGGTTTAGTAGTGTCTACCTGTGACGTTGAGTCCATCAGAGCGCTGACACCAGGTGATGCGAGAGGAGCCTGACCATGTGCTGCTCATCCACTTGTACTCATAACACTCCCCATCTGTAACAGCACAAGACATAATGATATCGATGAGTCATTAAGCCAGGTACAGAACAGAGCCAAATTGAATTCAGATCAGTTCTACTGAATTAAACTGAACTGAATTGAACAGAGGGGTGTGGTTCGATTTTTACATTCTGGATGAAAGGCTCAGGCTTTTGCTAGATGGCTTACCATGAACGCTGTTAATGTTTTATCAATATCTCCATCAGTACTCCAAATGACCCGTATTCTTTAGGGAGCCCTATGTAACTAATCACCTGCACAAGTAGTTCAACTCCATCGTAAATGAACAATCTAACCATGAAAAAATAGAGATTTATCTCTCAGTGCTCGCTAGCTACATTATCATCACTACAATCAATACAATACATTTTTTATACTGTTATCTGTCAGGGTATAATGATCTGAGCTGTTTCTATCTCTCTCTCTCTCTCTCTTTATTCCCTATATTGCTTTCTCTACCTCTCCCCTCTCTCTCTTTCACTCCTCTCTCTCCTGTTTCTCCTCTCTATCCCCTGTCTCCCCCTCCTCTCTGTCCCAGAGCGCTGGGCCACCCCATCCCCTCTCCCTCATGGGCCCATAGTGATGCTTATAAACCAGGTCATTCCAGCGATGGCTGCCGTGGGGCGGCCGCAGCAGTGGGTGAGAAGACGAGGGACTCCCCAGCCAGAGCCCAGGGGGACGTAGTGGGGGGTTGGGGATTCACATAACACTCTATGCTCTAGTCTATCCCATGAATAAGATGCCTGAGGGACAATGCTAGTACTGTACATAAACATGAGGAATTTGTTTTGCCATATTTTGACCTGGTAAAATAAATTCCTCATGGGCATTGTTATTTGACTTCGGTGCAAACATAAAACCTGGGTCGTATTCACTAGGCACCAAATGGAAGAAAAAGGACCGAAGCTGGAAGGGACTACCTTAATTGTCCAATAAAAAAACATTCATTTTCGTCTTCCATTGCAAAACATTTTGCTTGTGTGCCCTAATGAATACAACCCTGTTTTCCCAGTCTCACCAGTGCAGGGTCGGGACTCCCAGTCCTGGTCAGGACACAGCTGGATGTTCTCGGGCTCCTGGGCCATGACGGCTCGCGAGCGCACCTGGACAGAGCCAAAGTCCACGCCGGCCCCTTTGGCACACACACTCAGACACGGGCTCCAGTCAGACCACTCCATCAGGTAGCATTCACCTTCAGAGAGAGAGAGAGGAGATAGGGAACCACACAGCTTTGTTCCATTTGGAGTGATAGGTCTAGAGAAAAGACAACAGAGCAAGAAACACAACTAAAGCTAACCAAGTCAGGATTATTAAACTCTTGGGGTTAAAGAACGTCTATTACAGTTCAAAGCAGATTGTTGTTGATGTAATGTATGTGTATATCTGCATATAAAAAGATGTTATGAATTCACAGTGTTGTGCTGTTTTTTCTCTATGCTTTTTTTGTACAGGAATAGGCTTCATCTCTAGATCTATGCAACCACCCACACTGTACCATGATGCACAATATAAAAAAACAGCACACCTACATATGACAGGAGTGCTGTATACAGTTAGCTAGTTGTTTACCTGGACAGGGCAGAACACAGGTCTCCTTCAGTATGATCAGTTTGTCTCTGTTGACAGCCAGCTCCAGACCCCCACACTGCTCCTCCTCCACCATGCTGCCCTCTCCCTCTCTGGAGCCGTCCGACACGAAGCATGACAGGTTCCGGTAGCGAAGTCCCGCTCCACATACCACCTCCTGGGGGAGACACACCACACACACACACACACACACACACACACACACACACATACACACACACACACACACACACACACACACACACACACACACACACACACACACACACACACACACACACACACACACACACACACACACACACACATACACACACACACACACAGACACACACATACACACACACAAGTCAGATCATTTCCTCTGTGCATGATAACTGAGTGAAAGGGTCAAAGAGTGAATAAGACAGTGTGTGTTGTAGCCTACCTCCACTCTGCACTCAGACCAGGGGCTGTACTGCCACCTGTAACAGGGTCTGACAGGACAAGGTTTCCACTGCTCCAACTGAGAGGGACAGGGACGCCCGTCTCCCTGGGACGCCTGCACCACCACCCTGCTCCGCCACATCCTCCCTAGAACACAAAGATGCAGCATGAGACACTCACTGGACAATTAGTCTTGTACAGATGTAAGATCTTAATTTGATCACCCTGTTGCAGGATAACTTTCCTGCAATGCAGTGTAGTGTATTTGAGGTTTAAAAGGCTCCTGAAGTTTGTAATTTCCACTTTGTAATCAACCACTTCAAAAATGTCCATGAATTATAATCCAGATAATAATTCCTGTTGCTGCAGGATTATTTTCCTGCTGTAGCAAACTGGCTCAAATTAAGATCCTACATCTGTAGTAGTTATAGTATCACATCTTCCTAAAGACATGCAGACATTGGGACTATTTTATTCAGAAAGGATGTTTTGACCGTAATTTACATCAAAATATGACTGATGTTTGAGTAGAGAGATGCATGGGGTTGGGCTACAAACCAAACACAGCACTGATCTCTGTCTAGACAAACGCAAATCAATGATGTATTGTTTTCGGTCCTTTGTTTTTTCCTTGCTTTTGAATGGAGCAGTATTCTAAAGTTCATCCTTTGTTTTAATGTCAGTTAATTCACCATTCAGTGCATTCAATTAATTGGCAAATAAATGTAATGACAGTATAGGCCTACAAACAGTTAGTATGTATGTCACGCCCTGACTCAGGGGACTCTTATATGTTGAGTCAGGGTGTGAATGTTCTATGTTGTATTTTCTATGTTTGTGATCTAGGTTTGTAGTTCTATGTTTGGCCGGGTGTGTTTCCCAATCAGAGGCAGCTGTCGCTCGTTGTCTCTGATTGGGGAGCATACTTAGGCAGCCTACTGGCATTCATGGGTTGTGGGATCTTATTCCGTGTTTAGGTTTGTTGTGTGTTATCTTAGGACTTCACGTTTCGTTTGTTTATTGTTTTGTCGTGTGTTTATTCTGTTTAATAAACATGTACGCATTTCACGCTGCGCCTTGGTCTGACCCGTCCTTGAACGAACGTGACAGAAGATCCCACCAAACATGGACCAAGCAGCATGCCCTGGAGCAGACAGCCTGGACCTGGGAGGAGATCCTGGACGGTAAGGGATCCTGGACTTGGGAGGAGATTCAGGCTGGGATGGATCGCCGTCTTTGGGAGGAGTAACGGCAACGCAGAAGACGCCGGCCGAGGAAGAAGCCCGAGAGACAGCCGCAATCAAATTTTTTGGGGGGGCTAAAAGGGTGGTTGGCGGAGCCTAGTGTTAGAGCAGAGCCAACTCCCCGTACTCACGCGAGGAAGCGTGTGACTGGGCAGGCTCTGTGTTATGCGGAGCTACGTACTGTGTCGCCAGTGCGCCGGCACAGTCCTGTACGTCCTGTGCTAGCACCACGCACGTGCCGTGCGAAGATGGGCATCCAGCCAGGACGGGATGTGCCGGTTCAACGCTCCTGGTCTCCAGTACGCCTTCTCGGTCCCGCATATCCTGCGCCGGTTATACGTACTGTATCGCCAGTGCGCGTGCACAGCCCAGTGCGTCCTGTGCTGATGCCTCACACATACTGTGCGGAAGTAGGCATCCAGCCAGGATGGGTTGTGCCAGCTCTCCGCTCCAGACCTCCAGTCCGCCTCCACAGTCCGGCCCGGCCTGTTCCTGCTCCCCGCACCAAGCCAGGGGTGCGTGTTTCCAGTCCGGCCCGGCCCATTCCTGCTCCTCGCACCAAGCCAGTGGTGCGTGTTCCCAGTCCGGCCCGGCCCGTTCCTGCTCCTCGCACCAAGCCAGTGGTGCGTGTTCCCAGTCCGGCCCGGCCCGTTCCTGCTCCTCGCACCAGGCCTGTGGTGCATGTTCCCAGTCCGGCCCGGCCCGTTCCTGCTCCTCGCACCAGGCCAGTGGTGCGTGTTCCCAGTCCGGCCCGTTCCTGCTCCTCGCACCATGTCAGTGGTGCGTGTTCCCAGTCCGGCCCGGCCCGTTCCTGTTCCTCGCACCAAGTCAGTGGTGCGTGTTTCCAGTCTGGTCTGGCCCGTGCCTGGTCCCCGCACCAAGCCAGTGGTGCGTGTCGCCAGCCCGGTACGCCCCATACCTGCTCCCCGCACCAAGCCAGTGGTGCGTGTCGCCAGCCCGGTACGACCCGTACCTGCTCCTCGCACCAAGCCAGTGGTGCGTGTTCCCAGTCCGGTCCGGCCTGTGCCTGCTCCTCGCACCAAGCCAGTGGTGCATGTTGCCAGTCCGGCCCGGCCTGTTCCTGCTCCTCGCACCAGGCCTGTGGTGCGTGTTCCCAGTCCGGTCCGGCCTGTGCCTGCTCCTCGCACCAGACCAGTGGTGCGTGTGTCCAGTCCGGCACGGCCCGTCAGCTGCTCCACTCCGGAGCCAGAGCAGTCCGCTCCACCGGGGTCCAATCCAGCTCCTGTCAGCTGCTCCACTCCGGAGCAAGAGCAGTCCGCTCCACCGGTGCCCAGTCCAGCTCCGGTCAGCGGCTCCACTCCGGAGCCAGAGAAGTCCGCTCCACCGGTGCTTAGTCCAGCTCCGGTCAGCGGCTCCACTCCGGAGCCAGAGCAGTCCACTCCACCGGTGCCAAGTCCAGCTCCGGTCAGCGGCTCCAGTCCGGAACCTGAGCAGTCTGCTCCACCGGTGCCTGGTCCAGCTCCTGTCAGCGGCTACACTCCGGAGCCAGAGCAGTTCGTTCCGCTGGTGCCGAGTCCAGCTCCGGTCAGCGGCTCCACTCCGGAGCCAGAGCAGTCCGCTCCACCGGTGCCTAGTCCAGCTCCGGTCAGCGGCTCCACTCCAGAGCCAGAGCAGTTCGTTCCGCCGGTGCCGAGTCCAGCTCCGGTCAGCGGCTCCACTCCGGAGCCAGAGCAGTCCACTCCACCGGTGCCTAGTCCAGCTCCGGTCAGCGGCTCCACTCCAGAGCCAGAGTAGTCCACTCCACCGGTGCCAAGTCCAGCTCCGGTCAGCGGCTCCAGTCCGGAGCCTGAGCAGTCCGCTCCACCGGTGCCTGGTCCAGCTCCGGTCAGCGGCTACAGTCCGGAGCCAGAGCAGTTCGTTCCGCCGGTGCCCAGTCCAGCTCCGGTCAGCAGCTCCAGTCCGGAGCCTGAGCAGTCCGCTCCACCGGTGCCCGGTCCAGCTCCGGTCAGCGGTTCCAGTCCAGACCCAGACGTCAGCCCCTCTCCAGGTTCGGGGTCTCCCACACCAGGGTCCAGACAGGGCTTGGTACTTCGTGGGAGGAAGGAGAGGGGAAGCAGCGCACTGAGGTTCAGACCAGACCAGAGGCGCAACCGGGAGGCGGAGAGTATGTGGTCATCATGCCCGGAGCCGGATCCGCCTCCGAGGCGGAATGCCCACCCGGCCCCTACCCTGTCATGTAAAGTTTGTGCGGTCTGAGTCCGCACCTTTGGGGGGTGGTACTGTCACGCCCTGACTCAGGGGACTTATATGTTGAGTCAGGGTGTGAATGTTCTATGTTGTATTTTCTACGTTTGTGATCTAGGTTTGTAGTTCTATGTTTGGCCGGGTGTGTTTCCCAATCAGAGGCAGCTGTCGCTCGTTGTCTCTGATTGGGGAGCATACTTAGGCAGCCTATTGGCATTCATGGGTTGTGGGATCTTGTTCCGTGTTTAGGTTTGTTGTGTGTTACCTTAGGACTTCACGTTTCGTTTGTTTATTGTTTTGTCGTGTGTTTATTCTGTTTAATAAACATGTACGCATTTCACGCTGCGCCTTGGTCTGACCCGTCCTTGAACGAACGTGACAGTGTATTTGTGTGTGTGTGTATTCGTGTGTACTCCTGTGCGTCTGTGTGTGCGTGTGTGTTACTGTATTATTCATAGGTTACTGTATTAGTTGTCCATAACTGCTTGACTTAACAAAGGCAGCTCTTGAAAAATCCTGCTATGCTGTTCTGTCCTCCAGCTATATCGATTACCTCTCTACTTCCACTCTTCCACTTGAGCAAAATTACTTTTCCTTTCTGTTCTGCCAACTACTGCCTTCCTTTTATATAACACCAGTACAGGAGCATATGAGGTGGTGAAGTCTCTTATGTGTAATGGATCCAGTGTGCTGCAGTTTGAGTGTTTTGTAAGCTTTCTTGATTCTAAGGGCTTTGCAATGTGATGTATACAGTAGTTATACTAAGAGTGTATCATCTCAGATGAAGTATAGGTATTAAGTGAGCTCACACACACACACACACACACACACACACACACACACACACACACAGGTTGTGATTTGCTGTAACACACTGGTACTTCAAGTACTACAGCCTCAATTTACACCTCTTCCTCTCGCATTCATTCCTCAATTTCCACCCCTCTCGTATAAATCCATCTCACTGCTTCCACGCCACATACTCTTCAAACCCCTTACCCTTTCTCCATCTGTGTTTTGCAATTGGTCACATATAACAGCTTATTTACCAACACAGAGCCAGCTATCCTCTCCCTCAACCAAAAAACAAAGAACACCTGCTACACTTCTCTGACAGTAAAATACAACATTCTCCCTCTGAAATAATTCTAGCCAACAGAACATCCTCTATAGATCAGGTGAGGATCCCCACTGCACCTTTAGCCACTCTTAAAACACGTACAGTGGGGAGAACAAGTATTTGATACACTGCCGATTTTGCAGGTTTTCCTACTTACAAAGCATGTAGAGGTCTGTAATTTTTATCATAGGTACACTTCAACTGTGAGAGACGGAATCTAAAACAAAAATCCAGAAAATCACATTGTATGATTTTTAAGTAATTCATTTGCATTTTATTGCATGACATAAGTATTTGATCACCTACCAACCAGTCAGAATTCCGGCTCTCACAGACCTGTTAGTTTTTCTTTAAGAAGCCCTCCTGTTCTCCACTCATTACCTGTTAACTGCACCTGTTTGAACTCGTTACCTGTATAAAAGACACCTGTCCACACACTCAATCAAATAGACTCCAACCTCTCTACAATGGCTAAGACCAGAGAGCTGTGTGAGGACATCAGGGATAAAATTGTAGACCTGCGCAAGGCTGGGATGGGCTACAGGACAATAGGCAAGCAGCTTGGTGAGAAGGCAACAACTGTTGGCGCAATTATTAGAAAATGGAAGAAGTTCAAGATGACGGTCAATCACCCTCAGTCTGGGGCTCCATGCAAGATCTCACCTCGTGGGGCATCAATGATCATGAGGAAGGTGAGGGATCAGCCCAGAACTACACGGCAGGACCTGGTCAATGACCTGAAGAGAGCTGGGACCACAGTCTCAAAGAAAACCATTAGTAACACACTACGCCGTCATGGATTAAAATCCTGCAGCGCACGCAAGGTCCCCCTGCTCAAGCCAGCGCATGTCCAGGCCCGTCTGAAGTTTGCCAATGACCATCTGGATGATCCAGAGGAGGAATGGGAGAAGGTCATGTGGTCTGATGAGACAAAAATATAGCTTTTTGGTCTAAACTCCACTCGCCGTGTTTGGAGGAAAAAGAAGGATGAGTACAATCCCAAGAACACCATCCCAACCGTGAAGCATGGAGGTGGAAACATCATTCTTTAAGGGGAGGATGGATGGGGCCATGTATCGTGAGATCTTGGCCAACAACCTCGTTCCCTCAGTAAGAGCATTGAAGATGGGTCGTGGCTGGGTCTTCCAGCATGACAACGACCCGAAACACACAGCCAGGGCAACTAAGGAGTGGCTCCGTAAGAAGCATCTCAAGGTCCTGGAGTGGCCTAACCAGTCTCCAGACCTGAACCCAATAGAACATCTTTGGAGGGAGCTGAAAGTCTGTATTGCCCAAGCGACAGCCCCGAAACCTGAAGGATCTGGAGAAGGTCTATATGGAGGAGTGGGCCAAAATCCCTGCAGCAGTGTGTGCAAACCTGGTCAAGACCTACAGGAAACGTATGATCTCTGTAATTGCAAACAAAGGTTTCTGTACCAAATATTAAGTTCTGCTTTTCTGATGTATCAAATACTTACGTCATGCAATAAAATGCAAATTAATTACTTAAAAATCATACAATGTGATTTTCTGGATTTTTATTTTAGATTCCGTCTCTCACAGTTGAAGTGTACCTATGATAGAAATTACAGACCTCTACATGCTTTGTAAGTAGGAAAACCTGCAAAATCGGCAGTGTATCAAATACTTGTTCTCCCCACTGTATCTCTTGCCTGTGATTTAGCTGCAGGTGCTAGAGGCTACAGGCTGGCTGTTACTTCAAAGGGCTCCCCACAGGGCCCCGAGAAGACAGACATAATAGGACAGAATCAATTGTCTGATGCTGCACAACAACAAACAACAAGGACAGAGCAGTCACTTTACAGGGCGATTTATGATGCAATCGCTCTCAGTTCAATGAGCAGTTTCGTGATTTTTTCCCGAACCCTTCTTGGGTTCTCCCACCCCCAGTAAGAGTGTGATGTGATGTGTCTCAAATGGGCCGATGTTGTTTTTGTGCAGGCAGAGATCCCCATGATCGTTGGTAATCTGACAGCGTAGAAGAGCTGTTGATTTAACATGGGTTGATAGCACAGCGAATGTAGGAATATGCGAATGTAGGAATATGTACAGGCTCTAAAAATATTGCTTTTCATCAAAATGTTATTGGGCTAATTTCTGGAGGGGATCATTCGTGGGGGATGTTTACTGTTGCCTTGTTTTCCTTTAATGTTTTTAGTTTGTGTTCCTCTATTGTCCCATCAGGATTAGAATTATTTACAAAGAACTAACCTAGCCATGTGACATCCATGTTATCATTGAGCTCCTGAGTGGCGCAGTGGTCTAAGGTACTGCATCGCAGTGCTAACTGTGCCACTAGAGATCCTGGTTCGAATCCAGGCTCTGTCGCAGCCGGCCGCGACCGGGAGACTCATGGGCGGCGCACAATTGGTCCAGGGTAGGGGAGGGAATGGCCGGCAGGGATGTAGCTCAGTTGATAGAGCATGGCGTTTGCAACGCCAGGGTTGTGGGTTCTTTTCCCACGGGGGGCCAGTATAAAAAAAATATGTATTCACTAACTGTAAGTCGCTCTGGATAAGAGCGTCTGCTAAATGACTAAAATGTAATGTAAATGTAGGAAGATGTGCATTCTATTATGTAAGGACATTGGATGAATGAAATAGGGTGAGATTGAAGATACTGTATGACTGTGTTTAATGCTTATTGTTTTGTTTGTAATCTTGTTTTTTTCCGAACAATGGCTGTCTGAGATATTTTGTGATAATAGCTTGACTAGGATATTTGTAGCAAACAAGGCATTCAATTGTAGAACATTCAAACATTCCTTATGTAACTCATGCACTGTATCTCTGTCACGCCCTGACGTATGGAACTCTTGTTTGTGGACTCAGGGTGTGTGAATCTATGTTTTCTATGTTTAGGATCTAGAGTTGTGTTTCTATGTTTGGCCGGGTGTGATTCCCAATCAGAGACAGCTGTCGCTCGTTGTCTCTGATTGGGGATCATACTTAGGTAGCCCAGTTGCCTACTATGTTTGTGGGATCTTGTTCCGTGTATAGCCTTGTATTGTGTATAGCCTTGGACTTCACGTTACGTTGTTTTTTTTAGTTTTTTTGTGTTTAGTATTAAATAAACATGTTTGCATACCACGCTGCACCTTGGTCTGACCCGTCTCTCAACGTTCGTGACAATCTCATATGGAACCAATATTCTAATAACCATCAAGATGAGTCTGGTTTGATTACCCTCATGAGAAGTTAACCCATTAAGTGTCCTTTTTTAAAATCTCAGACATTTACCTAGGAGCCATTGACAGTATAAGGATATAAGAGTATGATCAGGTCTTTGCCTTACCATCCAGTCCACACGTGTGCGAGCATTCCGACCAGGCTGACCAATCAGACAGCTGGCAGTTGACGGGACACTCCACCACACAGGAAATGTTCATCTGCCACTTCCTCTCCAGGCTCAGCTATGAAAGAGCGGGATCATTTTCACTCAGTAACATTATCAGTCACAACACCTATCATAGTGGGGTTTTGCAACAGACTGTTACAGCCAGCCCAGACCCATTACTTCTGTCTGACCCCTAGGTAAACAGCCTATAATTCCTAGGAGTCTCTGGTTCTGTTCTGGCACAGGATGGGCACCCGGCTTGTTTAAACCCTATTATCACTGATTGAGCCGGACTGAAACTGGGCCATGGGTTCAATAGCAGTGAGGTTAGTCTTTCCACTACAGCCTGCAGCGGACAATTTGAGAGAGTCTGAATGGATTATGAATGAATTGAGTTGAATCTGATGGGACTACAGCAGTCCTCATGTGTAAACACTTCTAAATGTTTTATGGAGATACAGTACATGCCTGTCATTTTAATGGCCTAGAATCACTTGTGGCTGATACTGATCCAAAGAGATAATATATTACGTTACTGCTGCTCTGCTGAGCTAAATTAGCAATACTCTAAGGACACACAACTTCAAACTATTGACAGTACAGATGGTTCAGTTACTCTGGAAAAGGTCAAATTTCAATATCACTAGTATTGACTCAGTATTGACTTTCATCATAGTGTACCTGAATGAGAGCAAGGATCGCAATCAGGAGTTGGGGATAGAGCATTTAAGAGGGTCTCACCTCCTCACAGAACTTGAGGTCGACAGACTTGGCGTCGCTGCGTACACAATCCAGCATCCGCGTCTTGATGCCGTTCCCACACACAGCATTGGCACTTAGCTGACATGTGCTCCAGTCTGAGGGGAAAGGCAGACCAGTATGAAAATCACACTCAAATTCAACCAAAACTCACAAACATACACTGAGTATACCAAACATTAGGAACACCTTCCTAATATTGAGTTGCACCCCCCTTTGCCTTCAGAACAGCCTCAATTCGTCATGGGGCATGGACTCCACAAGGTGTTGAAAGCGTTCCACAAGGATGCTGGCCCTTGTTGACTCCAATGCTTCCTACAGTTGTGCCAAGTTGGCTGGATGTCCTTTGGGTGGTGGACCATTCTTGATACACACGGGAAACTGTTGAGCGTGAAAAACCCAGCAGCGTTGCAGTTCTTCACACCAAACCGATGTGCCTGGCACCTACTACCATACCCCGTTCAAAGGCACACATTTTTTTTGTGTTGCCCATTCACCCCTCTGAATGGCACACATACACAATCCATGTCTCAATTGTCTCAAGGCTTGATAATCCTTCTTTAACATGTCTCCTCCCCTTCATCTACACTGATTTAAGTGGATTTAACAAGTGACATCAATAAGGGGTCATAGCTTTCACCTGGATTCACCTGGTCAGTCTATGTCATGGAAAGAGCAGGTGTTCTAAATGTTTTCTATACTCAGTGTACAGTAACCAATGATTTATATATACACTAGATAGCTAACAGGGGGCGCTGATTTGAAGCCACCGCATCTCCATTTTACTACTCCCCCACCGTTGTAAGAAATAAGCTATAGAAATGTTTACCAAGTTTATTCTATTACAGACACCTTAATGCATACTTTGAAATTATATTATGTGAGCTAAACATACAAATAAGAATAAAATAAATATATAAGAACATTTTCCTTAAAGTATAATTTTTAGAGAGTAATAATGTTGCTGTCCCCAGTACAATATTAAAATACTTAAATACATGTAATTTTTCCCTTGAAACATTTAATTGAAATATTGTAGAGTTCCATTCATTCCTATGGATGACTCCTTCTTCTGGGGAGTACCAATATGCCCGACCGGTGGCTTCAAAGCCTTTCATGCAATATAGTGTTTATATACATCATTGGCCCAAACTTGAGATACACGTGCAAAGCTTCAATCATTACGCAAAGGGTACATTTGATGTCAAAGCCTGTTTTAGGCAGTTCCAACCCCAAGCCCTTTTCTAAAGATAGGATATTTACTCAGTTGAGTTTGATGGCAGTTGATTAGTTTGGCAACAGATGCATAGAGAACACCTCTAACACTTGAACTCATTAACTGAACAGAGTCATGACCGCTTGTAACACCTGCTCTGCCATGCTTTTGACAGCTAAACTAGGGCACATGACGGAGGAGCACGTAAAAAGCTCAAAAGAAACGCCCACGCCTATTTCAAGAGAAGTGGTGGAAAAAGTACTCAATTGTCATACTTCAGTAAAAGTAAAGACACCTTAACAGAAAATGACTCAAGTAAAAGTTAAAAGTCACCCAGTAAAATACTACATGAGTGAAAGTCTAAAAGTATTTGGTTTTAAATATACTTAAGTATCAAAAGTAAAATGTAATTGCTAAAATATACTTAAGTATCAAAAGTAAAAGTAAAATAATGTTATATTAAGCAAACCAAATGGCACAATTTTCTTGTTTTTTAAATTTATGGAAAGCCAGGGGCACACTCCAACACTCAGACGCCATTTGCAAATAAAGCATTTGTGTTTAGTGAGTCTGCCAGATCAGAGGCAGTAGAGATGACCAGGGATGTTCTCTTGATAAGTGTGTGAATTGGACCAGTTTCCTGTCCTGCTAAGCATTCAAAATGTAAGGAGTACTTTTGGGTGTCAGGGAAAATGTATGGAGTAAAAGTACATAATTGTCTTTAGGAATGTAGTGAAGTAAAAGGAAAAGTAATCAAAAATATAAATAGAAAATTAAAGTACAGATACTCAAAAAAACTTTACACCAAAACGTAAGTACTTTACACCACTGTTCAAGAAAGACATCAAGTTGTGTGTTGTGCCCCTTTCGCATCTCCCATCACTCATTTCTCAGACACCACCTTGACTTTGCAGTTCAACCTGTTTAATACAGACCCAAAATAAACGAGCCTCTGAAGTGAAGCATATCATTTGAATCCAGAGAAGTTGGAGTCCCAGAGCCCCCAGTCAGATAACCACATGGCTCTAGTTAAAGCCAGGAAGCCTGTCTACCACGGAGGGGCCCGGGGATCACTTAAATGCCTGCAACACTCTGACAAAGATGAGTGGCTGTTTTTAGCGGCTGTTTTAGGAGCTCAACTCCTGCTGCAAAGCTTTGTGGCACTCGGGGGAGTGGAAGAGGGAGATTGCGGAGAGAGAGAGAGAGCGATTCAAAGAAGCAGAGGCAAGATGGTCCCTGGCAACATGAAATAGAGCATTTCCAGTAATGATCTCTACTGGTATTTTATTTACATAGTTACTGTGTGGCCCTGAAAAGCCTGGGTGCTGCTGGGAGCGGAGCGCTACATATTAGCAGTGGGGTTTTATAGAGAAGTGAGCAACAGAAGGAGAGGGATAGAGAGCTACGGTATTGAAGATAACACTACAAATCTCTGGAATCACAGAGGAGCCACCAAAAAATTAAAAGACTGTGCAGTTTAATTGGAGCAAGTGGTGTAGGAGTAGCACTAGATAGAGTATGCTGCACCAAGAGTGTGCAATATTAATACACTACCATATAGCGTGTATATAGATTTAAAAAAAACTGCATTAGTTGGGTAAAGTTATTTCAGTATGAGTAAAATTAGAACACTTAAAGGCCCAGTGCAGTCAAAAACGTGATTTTCCTGTGTTTTATATATATTCCACACTATGAGGTTGGAATAATACTATGAAAATACTGTGAAAATGATGATAATGCCCTTTTAGTGTAAGAGCTGTTTAAAAACACTGCCTGAAATGTCTGCCTGTTTTGGTGATGGAGTCACCAGGCGGTAAATAAGTTGATAGACCAAGAAATTGCTCTTTCTAGGAAGCTATTTTTGTTTCTTTTTGACCATTTTGACTGAAAACAGTCACAGTAAGGTACTTAATTGTTACCCAGAAATTATTTCATATTAAGATAAAAACAGCTGCATTGGGCCTTTAAATAACAGTGTAAGTAGATAGCCACTGATGAGGGAAAGTACCTACTTATAGACAAACTAAATGGAAGATGTCAAAGTGGATGTTCTGCGATTCATTCGTTTTTTTTTACCTGTGATGTTGTAGAAATAGTGAAAGCAGTTCAGGTTCAGACGACATGGCTCCTTCTCTGTGGTGTCTGGACATGGTCTCCCTGCTCCAGGTGACCTGATGGCGTAGGCTGTCCGTTTCCTGCTGTTGTTGTAACTGCATGGCTGAAAGGTAGGCACAATTTCACGTAAACATGGAGGGGTTGAGCAAAAAGGGGGAGGGCCGTGCATTTTTCTTATAGCGTAAATTATTTACAAATCCATATTGCAGCAAGTGATAAGAATTATACGTAGACAGATCACTGAGCTGGAACTAAGCCCTTTTTCAATGGAGAGACCTTGCTGCCATGATGTCCATATTTATTGAACATAAAAGTCGATTAAACTGTGTGAATTTGCAGGCTTCTGGATTATTTCCCAGTTTCTTGCTCCATATTTAATTTTCCTAAATAAATGGATTAAGGTTCCATGTTCTGATGTCATGCCATTCCCCATTCCCAGGACTGACAACTGTTCCATATCCTCTCTACTGGCATTCCCGGAATATGGAATTATTAGGAATTTGTTCCCGGAAAAAGTTGAGGATGCTTCTCGAATAGAAATTCCATCCTAACATTCCTTACATTCAATTTACACAGTGTGAGAGCGGAAAAAACGCTGCCTCTGGAATAACTCCATTGCTGGAATGTTTTGTTCGTCATGAATAAAACATAGAACAAGCCCTGCTGGTACCAGCGCGACTCCATGTCGAGATTGGAATTGTGGGAAGTCAGCATGTCAAGCACTTAAAGAGAATGGGGTGTGATTAACAATGGCTGGTGCCCTTTCAGGAAAACAGCAGGTGACGTCGAAACAGTTCAATCGCTTTTTTACAACCAATGAAATGTGTCAGAGAGGGTAGGAGTGGACCAAGGCAGCATCCCACTGTTACTGCGGATAACTACTGGACTTTGATTGTATTCAGTATATGTACTATTTTATATTTTATACATATTTATATTTATGTCTATTTTACAGCTGTGAGACAACCATGGTCTGTCTATCTTTATCATGTTACAAAGGCTTCCCAGCAGTAATGACATGTTGGATGTGTCAGGCTAGAGAGTGAGAGTGGTTCATGATCCGATCAGAGCAGGTGCATCTGTTTCACTAGGGGATTTTTACATCCAGAAATACAATCACCTCCAGTGAAGTCTCTTTCAGGAGTAGTTACCTCGGTTTCTTTCCCTGTCTATGTTAATGGGTGAGAATTGGATAATGTGATTCACAGGCATTTGTTACCGTTCTACAGCACATATTTCTTTTTTATTATTTTTTTGCTTCTGTGGAGGAAGAAATATCATACTGTGAAAGACTCACAGTCCATTTATACTAAGACAAACAAACTCCTTATGTTAGGTTCGAGTCTCTTTCAAAAAGTGAGAAATGGGTATCACAGTTTCAATCACAGGACTTCATATCACAGAATCAGTGGGTGAATTAAAAATACTCTCCTACAGATCCAGTGTCAGTTCTTACCACAGACATGTACCAGTGGTTCTTAGCAGGCTGCATCGACTCCAGAGAGGCCAACACTTTTGTACAGATCCAGGATACTTCTTACTACAGCCATCACATACACATCATACATACATGAATAGAGATGACTGGTCTCAGACCAGTTATTCTTACCAGGCTGCAGCGGTTCCAGCTGCCCCAGTCAGAGAGGACACAGTCCTCGGGGCAGGGCAGCCGGCTTCCCCGCGTCCCCAGGGGCATGTCCTCTGGGTCACACAGGTAGTCCTCCACAGACTCAGATGGACCGTCGATAGTGTTCAGCATACACCTACGGGATTGGCCCAGAGATGGGTTCATATGACCTTACATAGTCAAAATATTTTCCATTAAAATCAACTGTCAATCAAATGCAATATATTCTTCATATGAGGGAGTAGAACATTTCTTGGGATGGTTTTACTTAGTCTACAGTAGTGTGATGTAGTGAAACGGTATAGTACCTGACTTTGCGTGTCTGGACGCCCTCTCCACAGTTTTCCTTCAGGTCCACGTTGCTGACCTTCCACCCACTCCAGGGTTCAGCCACCCACACATACTGACTACAGTCACTAATACAGGGCACAACCTCATACACCTGGGGGAAGGCACCAGGCAAGGGGTTTGACATTCATATATATTTTATATGGTTATTACATCCGTTATAATTGAGTTTGGATGACAAGAATAGCGTCAATGATATTACTGTGTTGAGATGATTAAGACATTATCAGAGGTGTTTTGTTAGTGCTGATGTCCATCCTTTTTAATCTTACCAAGCTACATCTGTGAATGTTCTGTACAGTACTATGCACAAATAGAGATATCTGTATATGTAACATTGTTGACAATATGAATTCATAATACAGAAAAGGGTCTTACCTGGGCCTATTGTGGTAAGCCGTATCCAGTGTGCATTGTGGAATGAAAGTGACATAGATTTGGTATAATTGACAAATGCAAATATTGAACTGCTAAGATCAAACATTTGATGAATGTGACATTGTAAATCAAAGGCTGCCTCTGTGAAGACCCCTTTAGAGAATTCAAACAGTGACAAACAGATCAACATGACATGACTTTAATCCACTTCTCTGAATCTGTTTCTATTCATATTGAAGGTAAACTATTTCATTTCTCAAATCAGGAATCAGCCAGCTCACAGGGGCATTAGTGTGGACGGATCCATTTATAGCGTTCATTCCTCTGGCTCTCTGTTCTACCCAGCAAAAGCAATTTGGCAATCATGAGAGAAAGTCATGGAAGGTAATGCAAACTGAATATCTTCATGAATATTTAATTTGTTTCTCTCTCTCCTATGTGTTTGTAATAATGTGTTTCTAACACAAAAACTGTGTTTATTATCACAAACAGTGCCTGAAAAAACAGTATCCATATTAGGAAAAAATGGCATCCATATTAGGAAGTCCCTCAGCTGTCAGACAAATTCTTACAAGTAAACATTAACTCATTTCTACATTAGACAGCCTTGTGAGTGTTTATCATGCTGTACCTGGTTGATGTGGTCCAGTTTGGGGCAGGGTCGCCCTCCGTTGTAGGGTTTCTCCCGGAGCCACTTGGAACGCACTTTGACCCCGCTACCACATGACTTACTGCAGCGGGACCAGTTGGACCACTCACTGAGCTTACAGTCTGAGGGACAGGGGATGATGCATGCCTCCTCAATGTAGCCTGCATGGAGGAGAGAGAGAGTGGTGTGAGAAGGGCCAGGAAAAGACAGGGGCCCATAGAGGCCCTCAGGAGCCCTAAGAAGCATAGCCTTTCCTTTCCATGGCATAGCATCTATTTCGGTCTGATTGCAATAAGGTTATGACATGTTATAAAACTCATTGGCATGTTCAGGACATTTTCATGAAGGAGTTAAAAGCACTGACCAAAAATAAAGTGTTACCTATTATTTTTTTGTTTTCTGTTATAAACAATAATATTATAATAAACTTGTGTGTGTTGAAAATATTGTATGTGCAACTTAGACAAAATCCAAGGTGTAACGATATCACATGACCAGAAAGCCAATACTAGTACCAACAACATGAGCAAATAATGACTAAACTGTTGATTTACAGAGACTGTTGATTTACAGAGACTGTTGATTTACAGAGACTGTTGATTTTGTGCTATAACAATAGAGCTACACTCCAGGGTCTCATATGAAGCTGTTATATCAAGTCTAAAAATACACTTGAGCAGTGGTTTGGGTCCACTGTAAGCTTTTTCATGTAATCTATGTTTCCTCAAGTGGCTGACAGGGTCATGACATGGTAACTGGGGCTGGCTGGCTTAAGCATCTCACTCTGCTTATTACTCCTGTTTATCTGGATGCCTACATCCCCAATCCTGATATCCTGTGTCTGTCTGGACAAACACACAGAGGTCCCAGGCTAATTCACTGGAAGAGGCTATCCATGTGAACCACTGGCTACATTTCAGTGGGGAACAACACATTTCTTCTCTATGCTTTCACGAGACAGTTGTTAAGGAACTGGAATATACAGTGTATTGTATAAGTTTGAGGGCTGGGTCTGAACTAAAGCTTAAGGGTTGAAGGCCTGAGGCTGAACTATTGTGGTAACAGCATTTCCCTGTGGTCCAATCCAGATTTTAATTGGAAAACATCTAAATCAATGTAGTGAACACGGAAGGAGACAAAATGAAGTGTTTGTGTATAAAATGCACTTTTTGACAACATTCTGTCTTCCTGAAGACTCTCTCTAGGCGCTAGATTTGTGATTGATTGGAAGCCCTGGCTATTAAACTGCTGCCATTGTCAGCAGTATTTTACCCTGGAATCCTGTTCAAACATAGGAGCTCCCTGAGTGATGGGACAGACCACGTGACAGGAAGACGGGGTGGCAGGGAGAAAAGCCTCTCCGATCCCAACAGGGGTGACCCTAGTGGCACAGTGACACGTCTTACTGTCATGTGACATCACATACACCAGTGGAGGCTGGTGGGAGGAGCTATAGGAGGACAGACTCATTGTAATGGCTGGAATGGATTAATGGAACGGTATCAAACACATCAAACATATGGAAACCACATGTTTGAGTCCATTCCAATTATTCCATTTCAGCCATTACAATGAGCCTCCTCTGACACACACACCTCCCACATATCCCATTGACCTCTCCCCCCATTACACCCACAGTGGCCCTCAGTCCATCTCCACATCGCCCTCTCAGTGTCCTGCTGGGATCAGCATGACTTCTATAATCAGGGTCATCACCCTTGACCTCCCTCTCTAGTCCAGACTCCCTTAAAGAGGGGATGAACTTCCTGATTTAGCCTCGGTTTCAATTCTCCTTGTTAGGAAATGCAACATAAGACGAGATTTAGGTATTGGAGGCGTTTTAGTTGTCTCATTAAATGCTTTTAATATTTCTATATGAATTTCTACAATTTATAGTTGGTTAGAGATTTTTAAGTTATTGAAATTTGGAGCTATTGACATTTTAAAATATTGTCCCATGTACATTGTGTAATCTACTGATTGTCCCTAACTAGCCCCATAAGGATGAGGAATGTCAAACCAAATTGACCATGGGCAGCTGCGCATTCCCAAATTGATGATTACTTGGATGCTGCAAGCTGTGGGCAGGATTGAAATAAACCCAATCCAAGGAAAACTGATACTGTACCCTTCATTCCGTGACGTATCATTTTTTTCCTAATTATCTCTCAAATCTCTGTTTGGACGAGACTGACTCTATGAGCAAAATTATCCTATTTACACTTCGTAGTACATTTTGACACTAGAACAAATGTTTCTGACTAATATCGATGCCACATAGGCCAGGTTATTTATTGCCTTCAATTTCTCTTTAAGCCAGCCCAATTAATTAAAATCACCCCTTATTCCATGTAGTTCAAGAACCATCACGAATGTGTTCCATCTCCTATACATGTACATTAACCCCATGCTACAGTTCGGTTCCTACAGTGCCAATTCCACTCAGTGGAATTAGTACCAGAGTTAAAAATATGGAGAATGTCTGTATATGTTTGATTAGTCCTACAGCTACAGTGTAAAGACAGTTTCAAACCAAAACACATTTTGATGTATAGTTGTCCGCTGTGTGTGTGCAGGGGTGTGGTGGAATGGGAGGATACGAGGTGGGTGAAAAACTGCATTCTGTATTCCATTTCTTGAGGGATTCATAGACAGGATGTGTAGCATCAAAAGTTCAATCGTACTATTTAAATATAAACATTTATGGTTGCACAGCTTAGATTTAGCACAACCGATTGCGTTCACTTGATTTTTTGCTGCATCATTTTCAGCAGTTTGGAAGTGCCCCAGTCATCTCTTAATACCATGGCAGCCCCTCATCCTCCCACTATATTAGCGTTCTCCTGCCCATGTAGAGTAGTTCACTAGCCCTTACTAATATGTCCGCCTCCAACAAAACCACCTCACCACCACAACCTCCCACACTGCTAGAGGTTACTGGTCCTTACCAACATGTCTGCCCTACTACTACTACAAGCCTCCACATATAGCGCAGATTCCCACAGTGACCTCATTCCCTCTTAACCACCCAATTCCTGTCAAGCCAAGGCCAAGGCCCTCAGAGCCATCCTACAGTATATAATCATAGAAAATGGCACAGCAGAGTAACAAAGTACAGAATCCATATTAGGAACATTATCAAGGTAAGGGGTGAGGTCTAATGAGGAGGAATGGCAATGTTCCTAATATGGATTCTGTGCACATGGTCACTAGTCAATCTCCCAACCAACATATTTTTTACCCACCATGGAGACTTTAACAATTCACATGTGAAAATGTTAACCCCAAAAAATGAGGAAAACTCCATAGACTCCAACAAATCAGCAATAGATTAAATAGTTATCTCGAAGCATCCACACCCTTTAAAAAAAGGAAGGTGCCTTCTAAAAAAAAGTGAGCAGTAAAAGGACTGTGAATGTTGTAGCTGTGAGCAACACAGCCTTTTAGCGTTAATCCCTGCCTCTATTGATATCTGGGGGGAATGGAGATAACTACATTCACTGATCTCGATCACAGCCTGGGGGAATATGTCACCATACACACAGTGGTGGAGAGGACAATGTTTCCTCTTCTATTAACATTAACCCTGATGATGGGAGGAGGATAGAGGAGAGAGAGAGAGAGAGAGAGAGAGAGTGATAGAAGAGAGGTATGAGAGCCGCGAGAAGAGATCATAGAGAGAGAGAGAGAAGCATGATCGAGAGAGATAGAGATGATAAGTACTCTAGAAGAGAGACAGAGAGAGAGATAGATATCTCAGATCTCTAGAGCTCTATGACTTAGATCTTAGATGAGACCTCTCTCGCTAGAGCTTTAGATAGAGAGTAAGCCCTCAATTTAAAAATATGCGACCTGATGGCATCCTAAATGAGATGCTCAAATTCACTAGTGCAAAATGTCAATTGGCTATATTAAAACGGTTTAACTTGATCCTGAGTGTAGGTTATTTCCCTGACATCTGGAATCAAGGACTCATAACCCCAATCTTTAAGAACGGAAACATATTTGACCCTAACAATTACAGAGGCATTTGTGTGAACAGGAACCTGGGGAAGGTTTTCTGTAGTATTATAAATGTAAGAGTTCAACAATTCCTTAATAAGCACAATGTCTTGTGTAAAAGCCAGATTGGATTTATTACAAAACATTGCACGACCGATCATATTTACACCTTACACACCCTGATAGATAAACATGTCCACCAAAATAATACCAAAATGTACGCTTGCTTTATATACTTCCAAAAAGCATTTGATTCTATTTGGCATACAGGACTGTTCTATAAAATTATTGAAAGTGGTGTAGGGGGGTAAAACATATGACATAATTAAATCAATGGCAATACGTGCATCATCAAAATTGGCAAGAAAATAACAGAATTCTTTAACCAGGGGTGGGGCCTTCGCCAGGGTTGCAATCTGAGCCCTGCTGTCACCCACAGCACATGGCCTACAGCAGAGCCTGGACCTGCTAGAGCAGTACTGCCAGACCTGGGCCCTGGCAGTAAACCCAAAAAATACTAAAATAATGATTTTCCAGAGAAGATCCAGATCTCAGGGAATTAGACCAAAGTTCTCAATTGGTACAAAATATATAGAGTACTGCACACACTACAATTACTTAGGTTTAAAAATAAGCTCAACTGGACACCTTAATGATGCTGTGAATGAACTGAGAGAGAAAGCACGCAGGGCATTCAACAACATTAAAAAACAAATTCTAAAACTTCATTCTAAAACGAATTGAATTTGTCATTGAACCAATTGCACTTTATGGCAGCGAGGTGTGGTGTCCACTTGCAAAACAAGATTTCACTAAATGGGACAAACACCTAATTGAAACCCTGCATGCAGAGTTCTGTAAGATTCTCCTACATGTCCAGAGGAAAACTACAAACAATGCATGCAGGGCAGAATTAGGCCAATATCCACTAATAATAAAAACTCAAAAAATAGCAATTAAGTTTTGGAAACATCTAAAATACAGTGACACCCTCTCATATCATTACCAAGCCCTGCAATGCCAAGAGCTGAGCAAATAAATGAGTCCCCTCATCCAGCTGGTCCTGGGGCTGAGTTCACAAACCTGTTCTACTAACACACTGAAGCCTCAGCTCCAGAACATCCAATCAATCAGAATAAACCAAATTACAACACAGTCAAAACAAAACTACATTGCTTATTGGGAAACACAAGCACAAGCACAAATTAAAATGCAGCGCTATCTGGCCCTAAATCGACAGTACACTGTGGCTAACTATTTGACCATGGTTACTGATCAAAATCTTAGAAAAACCTTGACAAAGTACAGGCTCAGTGAGCACAGCCTTGCCATTGAGAAGGGTAGACACAGGAGAACCTGGCTCCCTGTAAAGGGAAGGCTGTGAAACCACTGCACCACAGCAGAACCCTAGACAGAGCTGCATTTCCTGACAAAATGTCAAAAGTATAAAACAATTAGACAGTGTCATTTCCCAAAATGTGAAACCGTTTTTCAAGGTTTCAAAGACCTCTCTGATGAGAATAGGCTACCCGTCCTGTTGGGGGAGGACGCAGAGAGCTGTGGGTTGGCAACACACTACATTGCTGCCTGCCATAAGATGAGGGACAGTGTCTGACAGACCAACCAACCTGCACATGTCCTCTATATTGTTATTGTTCAATGGTTATTTTGACCCTTAGTTATTGTTGTTACTGTTGTCCCATTGACAATATTGATTATTATTATTTTAATTATGTTAATATTGTAAATATCCAAAGTAAGCTTTGGCAATATGTACATTGTTACGTAATGCCAATAAAGCAAATTTAATTTAATTTAATTGAGAGAGCGAGAGAGAGAGAGATAGAGATAGAGATAGGGCAAGAGAGATAGAGAGAGAGGGAGAGGGAGAGGGAGCGAGAGAGAGACGGAGAGGGAGAAAGCAAGAGAGAGAGCGATAAAGAGAGAGGGATAAAGAGTCTGAGAAGTAACATAGAGCAGAGAGAGAGAGGGTCGAGAGATAGAGAGCGAGAGAGCAAGAGAGAGAGAGAGAGAGAGGAGAAGAGAGAGAGTAGAGAGAGGGAAGAGGAGGAGAGAGTGGAGAGGGGAAGAGAAAGAAGAGTAGAGAGGATGATGGACTTTCTCTATTCTCTAGAGGAGAGAGAGAGAGAGATAGGGAAGGGAGAGTGGTATTGGATGTATTACGATACATACTGTAACGAGACGATACGTAACAATGTAATCTCTGTTACAAAAACACACTCTCCTAGTACACTATAATGCCCTTCCATAATAATATACAGTATACCTTGTCCCACAAACATACATATTTTCTTCCCTAATACGTCCCAATGTCGGGCTCCAGTCATACCCACTCCCAGGCTTACTAATGTGCAACTGCATCTCTGAGTCATAGCTTAGGCTCTGTTTAGAAATGCATGACACTGATGTGTTCATTTCTATGTCTCGCTCTGTGCTACTGCTTATATCAGTACACGTCTTCAAAATTCAACTATTCTAAAAGCAACTTGTCTTCATGTGTCAAATTAGAGATGGTATCGAGTGTTCCTTTGCGCTTCATGTTTTAAGAACAAGGAGATAAGAGCGATTCAGATAAGAATAGTTCAGACAAGAATGTTTGAGAAAATAAATCATGTCAAATTCAGTTAAAAAAGTACAGTTTTAAAAATAAACAGCACTTTTAAAAATAGTGATATTCATGAGAGCCAGAGAACTTTGAAAGTGTCAAAACATCTTCAATTCAAATACAGATATTGCAACATTTGCACACAGTGCTTACTGTATCACTGAAATCATCATTGGAGAGAAACCTAACAACCCAGTCGACGCACATCCCTGCCCTTGGCATCAAACCAAGCACTGTAGCTGTGATTTGGGGCAGATTTGGTGCTGGCAGGTCAGCAGTCATCATCAGAGATCAGGGGTCATAGTTAACGGAGCAATGCATGATGCGATTAGGTCACACTCTCTCTGTGTGTGTATTAGTGTGTGTGTGTGTGTGTGAGGGGCTCAGGGGGGATTACGGCTAGTCGACATCCCCCTGGGGGGTACACACACACACACACATGCACACGCACACAACACACACACACACAACCCACATTTTCCCACCTATCCTCCCACACACCCCCACACCCCCAACAACCCCACACCCCCAACAACTCCACCCCACCGTGGCTGTTGCATCGTGAGGTCTCCACCAGTCTGTTGTCCTGGTCGTAACACACCATGGCCTGGTAGCGGTAGCCTTGGCCACACTCCTTGATGTCCCCCTGCACCTTCATGCCCAGGAGGCCCTCCACGCGGTCTCCCCCGGCCAGGATGCAGTCGGACCAGTTGCCCACGGGCTGGGCGTTGTACTTGTCACATGGGCAGTACTGGGTCTCGCTCAGAGGGTACATTTGGGTGTTCTTACACTTGTCCTTCTTCTTGCTTCTCCCTGGGGTGGAGAGAGGATAGGGGTTAGTAGGTATGAAGTTTGTGTGTGTGTGTGTGTCTGCCTGTCTGTCGTGCAATTTAAAAGCTGCCCATCACCGGGAATTAATATGCATAATTATGTTAATTATGATTAATTGGACCAGACCTCTTTACAATTCTCAGGCTGCTCCCCAAACCAAGGGACTTGAGCTAATAGTTGCTAATAGCATCTATGCTGCACTCTAGCAGGCTACATGCTACTTCCCCTTCTCACAAGGTCATAGCGTAAACTGAATCAGTCATGTGTTGCTTATAAGCTATACTTCCTTACTGGACTGCCACTGTGCAAAGGTGTGATACTGCCAAAAGTCCTCACGTTTTGTTACCATTCCTCACCTACAAGTAACCTCTTCCTTGTTCGGACCCCCACACAGTCAGCTGTGCAGGACGAGAACTTGGACCAGTTGGTGAGCTGGCAATCATCCTGGCATGGGAGCTGGCACCGCTGAGTGATGGGGGGCATGGTGTTGGCAAACTTCAGACACTCCCCAATGTCTGCCTGCGCTCCATCCAGCTGGCGACAGGACACGGCTGAGGGGGGAAATCAAAGGCACAGTGTCCCTTACAGGGTTGGTGGCCATTTTGTCTGGGTCACAGAGATTTAGCAGGAATGGAGACATTGATTGGTTCGGTAGGGTTGCAGAAAAGGTGTACTATGTAACACAGGGTGGCTGTCAATTGAACACAGTCTCAGGCAGACAGTTTTGTTTATACTGCCTGTAACAACTCAGAAATAAGAGTTATGGTAAAATATAAATAACGGTCAATACAGGTTCAATGTTAATATGTCAAATATGTTGTATTTTGATTAAAAGGACATTACTGGAGATATTGCAAAATGTGCTTTTCATTATGCTACCCCAAAGTAACCTACAAGCAGAGTTCTGCTCAAACTCCCCTGGGCCTCTGTTGACTCTATACGTTTGGATTGCTGTAGTCTGTTGATGTGTGTGGGGTTGTTTGTGGGGGCATGTGTGTTGACAGTGGGTGTGACTGGCGGTCAAGAGTGTTCCAGGTCCCTCCAGGTACACAGCAGTGAGACGCTGTGAGAAGCTGTGAGACGCCCCAGGGGTAAAGAGGCACTATGTCTCAGCATGTCTCAGAGAATGACAAACAGTGACCTGGATGCTTGAGAGCCCAGGGATGTTGACGTCTACTATCACAGGCTATGAGAGTCAGTCCAACACACAGGAGGATTGGCAAGATGTTTGGATGTCAGATCATTTGTATGAAGAAAAGGAAATTGTAATGTGCCTCCTACCATTTATGCATATTAGAACTTCACAAGTGGCAATTTACAACATTGCCACTGATAATAGTTCTCCATTGAAGCTATACAACAATGGAATTATTCTATGTGACCTGAAAAAACACATTTACAGTACTTTGTAGTACAGCTTCTTTTATCTACAGTAGTTGAGCCATTCCTGAATGCAAGTCAAACTTACGCTTCAATATGCTGTCATATGGTGTATGCTTACAACTGAAACATATTTACAGGTTGTAGTTAGCCAGAGGGGGAATGTAGCAGCTCTCCCAAACGGAGCTGTGATTAAAGCTGCATGAAAAGAGCCTAAGGTACCTGGTACCTAGAAACTCCAACTGTCTCAAGCAAGGTGGATGTCTAGTCATGAAGAAATTGACAAATGGTGTCCTCAGTGCTGTGGGGAGTGTCAACCCCAGTTCACGTCTTTGTCTAAGCAGGGGGATTTGACAAGTGGTTTAAGAAGCACAATTGGCCTCTCCTAACCTTGCCAAATCCATCTGTTTTCTCCTGGCTGAGATTCAGAGGCCACAAATAATGTCAATTTCATTGTGGATGTTTAAATTGGATAGAAGAGAAAGTAATAAAAGGGGATTCATGAAAGAAAAGAGATGGATAAAGGATGTAATTTCACCTCTTGTTTGAAGACCTGGTCCACATGTCTCTTGAGCCCCTGGGCTGTCCTCCCTGATGTACCATGGCACCAATTGACACCTTCTCCATTTGTGTGACTTCCACCTGCAATAGAGGAAGTATTATGATGATGATGATGATTGTGATAATGATAGTGATGTTGAACGTGATGATGATCATCAAGTCAATGTCATCATAATCATTCAAATAATCATATTCCTTTTACATTTGACAGAGCGACATATTAGCGATTCTCTTATCCAGAGCGACTTACAGTAGTGAGTGCATACATTTTTGTACTTAATATTATCAGCAGACAGTAGAGGTAATTAGCGTATAATGAGAATACACTTCATGAGTAAGAGTTGCTAACGATAGTAGCAATAGTATCATCATTGGTGTAATCATCTCCATGTACAGTGCCTTCAGAAAGTATTCATGCCCCTTGACTTATTCCACATTTTGTTGTGTTATATCCTGAATTCAGAATAGATTAAACATATTTTTTTCTCATCCAGCTACACACAATACCCCATAATGACAAAGTGAAAACATAATTTTAGAAATGTTTGCAAATTTATTGAAAATGAAAATGAAATATCTAATTTACATAAGTATTCACATCCCTGAGTCAATACATGTTCGAATCACCTTTGGAAGCGATTACAGCTGTGAGTCTTTCTGGGTAAGTCTCTAAGAGCTTTGCACACCTGGATTGTACAATATTTGCACATTATTCAAGCTCTGTCAAATTGGTTGTTGATCATTGCTACACAGCAATTTTCAAGTCTTGCCATAGATTTTCAAGCTGATTTAAGTCAAAACTGTAACTTAACCACTCAGGAACATTCAATGTTGTCTTGGTAAACAACTCCAGTGTATATTTGGCCTTCTGTTTTAGGTTATTGTCTTGCTGGGTCCATGCAACTTATTTTGTGACTTGTTAAGCACATTTTTACTCCTGAACTTATTTAAGCTTGCCTTAACAAACGGGTTGAATACGTATTGACTCAAGACATTTCAGCTTTTCATTTTTATTAATTAGAAAAAAATTCTACAAACATAATTCCACATTGACATTATGGGGTATTGTGTGTAGGCCAGTGACACAAAATCTACATTTAATAAATTTTAAGTTCAGGCTTTAACGCAACAAAATATGGAAAAAGTCAATGGGTGTGAATACGTTCTGAAGACACTGTATAACTGCCAGTACTCTTGGCACTGTGCTGTACCTGTAACCAGGGCAGACTTTGGGAGCCGCACAGTCCTTCTTCTCCTCCAGCACCTCAGGACAGTCTTGGCCCCCGTTGGCTGGCAGCTGGAGGATGACGCGGTTTCTCGACTGCTTCTTCTTCTGAATGTTACCAGCTGACAAAGCACACAGTACATGAAGCATTACTTTAATTATATATTATAATTAGATTTTCAAACACCAGAAATTTGTCACAGTATCTAAACCTGTCTGGCTCAACACTGAGTCAGAGAGGTTTAGGTACTTTGACAAATTTCTGAAATTTGCCATTGTTCCCCTTTATATCATGTTGAGACATTCCATGTCAAACTAACATATTCAGGGCAAAGTGGGCGAATGTTGACTGCTTTATTGTTGCAGTAAAATCGATATAGTCGTCAAGTCCAAATCTAATGATGAAGTAACATCAACAAGATGGATGCTTTCCCCGTGATCAGTGGTATTCCCAATAGACACACCGTTGAATAAATACAATAAAGAACTATCAAGTTGAGCCAGAGCGCTGGCTATCTAGACTGATTAAGATGTCGCTTTATGGTCCAGGACTGGCCCAGGAGTGTTTAATCAAATCATGAGTGTATTACAGGCTCTGTGCATCCGTGACCTTTAGTTTCAACCAGTGTGGGTGCGAGGCAGGTCATCCTATACAGTAGGAGAACATCAGCACTACTATCAAAATCTGAGACTGTGTGTGGCGAGGGCCAAAGATTTATGCTCTCATGCCAAATAATGAGGTCATCAAAATCTGAACGATGATGATTTCATGCCATAAATCAATGTAATGTATTCAACAATGTCCTCCAGCTGTGGACATGGCTGTCTGACAAAGGTGACCTGGTCTGGAGGCGTTTTTATCACAGCATGAAAACAACAAACAACAACAACAACAACAACATGGCGCCCTGTCACTTGTAGCCATAGGCTAGTATGTTTACTGGGTTACACTAAATTAGGTAATCTTAAGGTCATCCTACATGTCAATCTGTCAAATGAAATATCCGTAATGAAACGAGAGTAATACAGTTTAAGGAAACTGTAATGAGCCGTTTACATTGCATGCATCACCCAATTGGTGCTAGTTTCCTTATTCGTCCCAGTTTTCCATTGGTTTAAAATATCAATGATCTCCAAATGATGCTTCATGATAAAAGCTGCCATACAAAATGTTCCTACGAGGTTGGATAAGTAAGCAATTCCTTTTAGGAGAGCATTTTTGGTCCATAGTTCTTAGTTTCCAAGAGACTTACAATGAAAAGATACAATGTATGATATTAATTTGAGCCAGTTTGCTACAGCTGGTAAATAATCCTGCAGCAATGGGAAATGTGAATTATTATGTGGATTATAATTAATAATAATAATAATAATATAATAATAATAATAATAATAATAATATGCCATTTAGCAGACACTTTTATCCAAAGCGACTTACAGTCAAGTGTGCATACATTTTTACGTTTGGGTGGTCCCGGGGATCGAACCCACTACCCTGGCGTTACAAGCGCCATGCTCTACCAATTGAGCTACAGAGGACCACAGACATGTTTTGTAGGGGTTGATACATTTTTCATAGGGAAAATTAAGTCTGAAATTTCAAAGTGGAAAGTACAAACTTTAGAAGTCTTTTTAAGCCTCAAATACACTGCATAGCAGGTAAGTTATCCTGCAACAGGGTCATCAAATTAAGACCCTACATCTGTAGGGTTGTTATTTGTGTGCATGTCTTTGCACAGTAGCTTGAATTCTTCTTTCATACCTGCATCACAGGTGGGAGAGCACTGGGACCAGTCGCTGAAGGGGGTGACGATGCAGTCCTTCTTACAGGGCATTCGACAGGGCCGCACTGTACCTGGACGAGGACTCTCAGGACATCTACATGGTAAACACACAAACATATAGTTGGTAACACACAGACACAGGCTTCTCACTTTGGCTGCAGGAATTCAAATGACTCATCCGATTGTCCAAGAGCCATGGAGCTATCGACGAACAATGATAGACTCTTGGCTTTGAAGATGCTCCTCTTAGAAAGTACTGTAACCTGCTTGGCTTCCTACTATGTCGTTTGTCTTTGTAAAACCACTTGGCTTTTACTGAGAGAAATCCAGTTTTTTCTGAAGCACAAACTAGAACAACAAGAAGCAACTGTCTGATAAGAAGTCCTATGTCTTATGTCCATGTCAATCTATGGTACCACTGACAGATAAGGAAAGAGAAGATCATCTTATGTCTTATGTAGGGAAATTTAAACATGACCTACAGTATACGGCTTTAGCAGCTCAGCAGTGCCTTTGTTAATATTCATTCCTCTTAAATGGAGAATCTGCAGTTAATTCCTCCAGGCTAGATTCAGTTCACTATAGATAAGACCCTCCATGGGAATCCTTCCCATCTTTCTGCTCTGTTTTAAATTGATTCTATTACTGGACGATAATCCGTTAGATCTCTGGGATTGTGGTTGGAGTTGGTCTTCATATTTAACGGACAAAGGGTTATATGTAATCTTCAGCCTATAGTTATAAGTATCTCTGATCCCCAGTGAATGGCCACTGGATGAAGATAAACAGGGGGAAATTGTCAGTCTAAAAGACATCAAGTAATCTGATGTTTCGGACATGGGGCTTTCTAAGTGCGGCTCTATTTCCTTAGCCTATTGCTGAGATAGCATAGATAACCTAGCTAGCGCTGATCATCTGGGTCAGGTTTACACATTGGGAGTAGGAGCACTATCTTCTACTGGGGTTGCTCCACTCATTAGCACCGTGTCGTCAGGGGAGAAACAGGGTGCCTCACATGCACAATGTAATAATGCAGCAGGCAGATATGCGAAGAGAGGAGAGATTTATGTTTAATACCAATAGAGAGAGCTAAATCCCTCTTTAGTGAGACAAATCTTCTGGCATGTTCGTACACCGGTTCTACACTCCAAAGCAGTGCTCAGGGATGGAGAATAGAGCGATGCTGATGATGATAAATATGGATCAAATCAGTTTCTTATTTCCTCTTTAGGTTTAAAGAGTTTACACAGATTAACTGCATTAACAACAAGTGCAAAGGTAATGTGAACCTGTTTAAGGACAAGCTACTTCAAAAGACTTCAAAAGAAAAGCCTACAGGGAACAATCTTCTAGACAAAACAGTAAAAGATGAGACACAACAACATAATCCAGATTGAGCTTTTGAGCTGAGCATTTAGCACCTCAATACACCTCACATAACTAAAGCTGAATGCCCTCTAGACAGAAACATCCCTACTGTTCCCTTTCAGTTTTAACAACGTTCCAGACAAAACATATGAGACACAACAACATGACACAGATTGAGTTGTTGACCCGAGCACTTAACTACCTCACATAACTAATGCTGAACTAATGCTCCAGCAGACAGAAACATTCCTACTGTTCCCTTTTATTTTCCTTGTATTTTAGGCCAGGTGTAATGACAGGTATTATCCGAATATGGATTATTAAACTTCAATTACATTCTCATTAAAAAAACAGGCCACTTTCATTGCCAGAACACAATACCGACGCCACAGGAAACTCAGTCTTCACGGCTATTGAAGTATGCAGACTTTTCGACTAGTCATTAGATTATCCAATTAAAGCATCATCTGGTTTTAGCCAACTTGTTTTCCCTGCTAGTGTTATCATATCTTAATGATCTTTAAATGTAATGATTTGTAGTGAGGCAGGAAACACAACATTTACTCTGAGTCTGTCCCATAGCATATCATTAAGAAGAGTCTGCCAGGGTAATGTTTTTGTTCTGCTATTTGCTATTATCGCTTGAATAATCTGTTCGACAAGAGATTCTTCAAAAGGAGCATACTGTATGGTTGAACATCGTTTTAAGAGACTGCAAAAGCACACAAGTCCTGGCACAAAACGATAAGGACTAATTAAATTCATTATTTAAAAAATACAACAGCAAATAAAACAGAATTTGTTTAATATTTGGGGAGAAAACAGCTCTGGCTGTGTGTAAGTTTCTTTGGCCTCTGTCTCGACAGCGTTCAACCATCTATCACTGTCATCCGCAGTGACTAAACACAGTTGTCATTAGGACACATTCACATGATCGACTATGACTATCAAACACTATCACCATTTTTCATCCTTTTCCGGTAGTCCAAGTAAGCATCAGTGCGATTATACAAACACATCAGACATCAATCCACATGCAAATTGTCACAATCTATAAACCAATATGTTTTAGTTCCAAATCCCACTGCAGTCCTCTGTATATCGACTGATAGAAGCGTATGCCTGAGGGAGTGACATATTTGTCTCTGAGAGACTCTCCTCTCTATTGGGCTTTGACAGTGTGTGTGGTGACACTGTGTGAGGTTCACTGCCTCGGGGTGTGTGAAGACAGCTCTGAGCCCTCTGTGAGCAAGCTGGGGCACATCTGCATACACACCAGCGAGGCAGACGTGTGCTTGTTTGCTCTGCCAGGTTCCTAAGGGAGCGCTAATCGAACCTACCTGCCAAGTAGAACGGTGGGAAGAGAAGACACAGTGGGAAAAATACAGTGAGGGAAAAAAGTATTTGATCCCCTGCTGATTTTGTATGTTTACCCACTGACAAAGACATGATAAGTCTATAATTTTAATGGTAGGTTTATTTGAACAGTGAGAGACAGAATAACAACAACAAAAAATCCAGAAAAACGCATGTCAAAAATGTTATAAATTGATTTTCATTTTAATGAGGGAAATAAGTATTTGACCCCTCTGCAAAACATGACTTAGTACTTGGTGGCAAAACCCTTGTTGGCAATCACAGAGGTCAGACGTTCCTTGTAGTTTGCCACCAGGTTTGCACACATCTCAGGAAGGATTTTGTCCCACTCCTTTTTGCAGATCTTCTCCAAGTCATTAAGGTTTCGAGGCTGACATTTGGCAACTCGAACCTTCAGCTTCCTCCACAGATTTTCTATGGGATTAAGGTCTGGAAACCGGCTAGGCCACTCCAGGACCTTAATGTGCTTCTTCTTGAGCCACTCCTTTGTTGCCTTGGCCGTGTGTTTTGGGTCATTGTCATGCTGGAATACCCATCCACGACCCATTTTCAATGCCCTGGCTGAGGGAAGGAGGTTCTCACCCAAGATTTGATGGTACATGGCCCCATCCATCCTCCCTTTGATGCGGTGAAGTTGTCCTGTCCCCTTAGCAGAAAAACACCCCCAAAGCATAATGTTTCCACCTCCATGTTTGACAGTGGGGATGGTGTTCTTGGGGTCATAGGCAGCATTCCTCCTCCTCCAAACACGGCGAGTTGAGTTGATGCCAAAGACCTCGATTTTGGTCTCATCTGACCACAACACTTTCACCCAGTTCTCCTCTGAATCATTCAGATGTTCATTGACAAACTTCAGACGGGCCTGTATATGTGCTTTCTTGAGAAGGGGGACCTTGCGGGCGCTGCAGGATTTCAGTCCTTCACGGCGTAGTGTGTTACCAATTGTTTTCTTGGTGACTATGGTCCCAGCTGCCTTGAGATCATTGACTAGATCCTCCCGTGTAGTTCTGGGCTGATTCCTCACCGCTCTCATGATCATTGCAACTCCACGAGGTGAGATCTTGCATGGAGCCCCAGGCCGAGCGAGATTGACAGTTCTTTTGTGTTTCTTCCATTTGCGAATAATCACACCAACTGTTGTCACCTTCTCACCAAGCTGCTTGGCGATGGTCTTGTAGCCCATTCCAGCCTTGTGTTGGTCTACAATCTTGTCCCTGACATCCTTGGAGAGCTCTTTGGTCTTGGCCATGGTGGAGAGTTTGGAATCTGATTGATTGCTTCTGTGGACAGGTGTCTTTTATACAGGTAACGAGTTCAAACAGGTGCAGTTAACAGGTATATTGTAACAAGCTGAGATTAGGAGCACTCCCTTTAAGAGTGTGCTCCTAATCTCAGCTCGTTACCTGTATAAAAGACACCTGGGAGCCAGAAATCTTTCTGATTGAGAGGGGGTCAAATACTTATTTCCCTCATTAAAATGCAAATCAATTCATAACATTTTTTACTTGTGTTTTTCTGGATTGTTTTGTTGTTATTCTGTCTCTCACCGTTCAAATAAACCTACCATTAAAATTATAGACTGATCATTTCTTTGTCAGTGGGCAAACGTACAAAATCAGCAGGGGATCAAATACTTTTTCCCTCACTGTAACAACTAGAGACCATGCCAAGTCACAATGCAGTGCACTGAGTGCAGGCAGGGTGAAACCACCGCTACACTAAAGCTAGATAGCTAGTGGGCTTAGTGGTTTAGTGTCGAGATGAGTCCACACCATCTCTCCCAAGCAAATGGAAAAGATTGGCACCAATTGGACATGGACTCACCCTGACATTAGACCACTTTTGAAGTCTTACAATGAATGACAAATATTGATTTTAGAATGAACTATCACTACAAAGGACTTGAAGACAAAGCACTGAGAGAAGGCACTTTTGGAGTTTTGCCAGCTTCAGCGGTCTTAACCTAATCCACCATGACAGGGGAAAGCCTCTTTAAGAGCAACAGTGGCTTGAAAGAATGCAAAACATGCAGGAAAGTTATTTCATAACAAAGGCAACATACAGTGGTCTTAAAAGGATATGGACTCATAGCAAAGTCTATAATGGCCCAGAAGAGAGTTCCACTGACAGAAAGATATTCAGCACCTTGGACAGATACCACTGGGAGGTTTTATCCTGCCAGGTGAAAATTACTTCAGGATCTTGGATAGCAACAAGATCCGTAAACTGTAGACTCATGGGTTAAGATTTTTGGATCTTACATACAGCAGGTTAATTAGTTAAATGAACATAAAATCCCACCTAGATAAGCCTAGCAAAGCAAAACAGCACCCATGCAAGAACACAACTTTAGACTAATTGTAAAGTAAACTTATTGATGCATTTTGAGGCTGCAGTGTATGTTCTGCATTGCAAACTATAGACATCCTGCAGCCTTCATCTTGTGGTGATTTAATTACCTTAAAGTATCAAAGCCACTTAATTACTGTCATTATCATCAGTGGGAAATTACACAGGCCTAAATTAACAGGGTTAATTAGCATGTTTGGGACGGCATATATATTTATTTATCTATGTTTGCCTGTGGAGTAGAGATAAGGCTTGAGAGCTACTCTTCATACTGTATCACTTCTTGTCATACCTTTCTAACTAACTTTCTCTGTCTCTGTCTCTGTCTCTGTCTCTGTCTCTGTCTCTGTCTCTGTCTCTGTCTCTCTCTTTCACACACACACACACACACACACACACACACACACACACACACACACACACACACACACACACACACACACACACACACACACACACACACACACCTAGGGCCTAAATGTTCTTACTTCTTGGGCGGCACCTGTCCCACATTGACCCGGACACAGATGACCTTGCGTGTCTGCATGCCTTGGGAGCAGGGGCCATGCCCATTGGTGTTGGGGCCAGCAGCAGACCTGGGGCCAGTGGTGGTGTTGAGGGCTGAGGCTGAGGGGTCTTCTGTACAGGGGCCCCAGAGGCCAGTCTGCCAGTGGTACACCGTACATGCATGCTCGTTGCAGTTCCGCACCTCCTGCAGGGAACTGCTGTTGGGGCACATGCCACCACCTAGGAAGACGCACACACATAGAAAGGGCGAGCTGATGAGTTACTTCATAGAGCTTCGGCATCGTGCACATGTAATAACCAATAAGTTCAGATTCTCTACCACACCACACACATATACAGGGTGGTCCCAATGTCAATAGTTAGGGAGGCTCTGCCTTATACATGAAGCCCTTAAATAATGACAAAGTCTGCAAGATTCAGCCAATTATTGATAGTGACAGTCCATGATGGTGTTGAAAGGCTTGACCTCCCCCGGTGATTGACAATGCATTTTAATCCTCCTGCCCACTTAGAGGCTCAGACGATTCATCTGGAGTTCATAGAGTCATTGTAGATTATTTGGTTTTGATTTATGGTTTAATTTGTTTCTTATATTCTTTCTATTCTTATCTCTACTCTCTATATTTTTGTTAGGGTTTCTCTTTGTTGAGAGATTTCTAAGTGAAGGTCTCTTCGGGTATAGTCTCGAACGCTCTGCTCTAATTTGGTTGTTTCGCTCTATTTTGATCTTAGGTCCTGATTAGTTGGTATGCTCTGTGTATATTGATAGTCGTGTTTCGTATGAGGAGAGACTGTATACACGAGAGCATTCTATGTCTCTACTGGTCATCTATCTTCTTCCGGTTCTTTTCTTTCTCTTCTGATCTGTTATTCGTAGCAGTGATCTTAGGAAGGTTACTGGCAAGGATCTAGTTAGGATAGAGAGAGCTTAAGAGAGTGACAGAGAGATTGGTATGGCGGACTATGGTAGTGGAATGGTTTTCGTACTCTTCATGGGAATTTTAACTTGAGATAAGAATGATTGGATATGTTGTTGTGTACTCTTTGGCTTTGTTATTCCTCTTTTTGATCTCTTCTATGTCTTCGTGCCCGCTCTTCTCTTCTCTTTTGCTCTCGTGAGTGTCTCTGTGAGTGTTCGTCTTGCACTGTGTCGCTCCTCTCCTCGCGTATCTCCTCTCTCTCCTCTACTGACACTCCTTTTTCCTCTCTCTCCTGTCCATTCTTCTCTGTCTTCTTCTGTTCTTTTTCATTCTCCTGTTGTTTGATCTTTTTACACGTCTCTCTCTGTGTCACTGTTCTCTCTCTTGTCTCTTTTCTCTTCTATTCTGTTCTCTCTCTGTGTGGCTTGAGTGTCTGTTCTCCTTCTGTGGCATTTGTCCTCTCTCTCTCTCGATCAATTGCTTTTCGTTCTCTCTTCCTTTTGTTCTCTATGTTGATCTCTATAATTGTATATATGTTGGTCTGCTTTTTTGTGTATAGTCTCTCTATGTTTAGTCTGTCTTCTTATCGTTCTTCGTTGTCTGCTCTCTCTGTTCTGTCTCGCCTACTATCTCTCTCGCTTACTCTATCTCTGTCTTTCTGATCTGTGGTGTATTGTCTCTCTGGTAGGGGAGTAAGGGGGAGAGACTCGAGGGTGGAAGGGGAGTGGAGGAGGCTGGGGGGGAAGAGGGAGAGAGAGAGTAAGAGATAGACGGTGGTGTATATTTTGTGTAATGTGTAGATGGTAGTGAGGATTCTTGAGGAGTCATGGCATTATAGCTGGATAGTACTGCTAAGGGAAGGGGGGGGGAGAGAGACTTAGGGAAGAGATGATAGGAAGAGAGAAGGAGAGGAGAGGAGAGAGATAAGGAGAGAGAGAGGAGAGAGGATGTCTCGGTTTGAGGGTATCTCTCTATATATATTGTTGAGCTGGTTATTGAATTTACTTATGGAGTTCTATATCAATGTGTATGTACTATTCTTATGTTTTCTTGGGGATAAGAGAGGTAATTCGATAGTTATTGATCTCTTTCGTAAGATGGAGATAGAGACAACAACACTCCCCAACCACCATATCCTGACACACATACACCCCCGGGGGAGAAGAGAGGAGAAGAGAGAGAGAGAGAGAGAGAGAGAGAGAGAGAGAGAGTATAGAGGTGGGTCTCGCTCTCTCTCGCGCTCATCGCTCTCTCTCTCTCTCTCTCTCTCTATCTCTCTCTCTCTCCTTCTCTCTCTCTCTCTCTCTCTCTCTCTCTGTGTCGCTGTCTCTCTCATCTCTGCTCAGTGGAGGCAGGTGGGTCGATAGAGTGAGATTCAGAGCCCTTAGTTCTTCAGAGTAATTGCAGACACTTACAGCTTTGGGCAGTGATGAAGGGGCATTGTGGGACTGTAAGTCCTTCACACCTGCACCATCCTGAGATGAAAGCCAATCGGCTCCATAATGAGCAGCAGTGGTGTTGTTCACAGGCCGGTCAACGTGGAATGCCAACTCAGACAAATCTAAACCTGATGGCAAATGAACAGACCTCCTCCTCCTTCCTTTCTGCTGACTGCTACCTGCTTACATCGCTGACTAACCATGTCGGTTTGCTGGTTCTGCCAATAGCGTAAACTAACCAGACAAATATGCCACAGATGGTGCCCAGACAGCCCAGACTGACCTAGAAAAGTGGTTTGGGTTGGGCAGAGGTAGTCTATGTCGATTCTACAGAGAGCTGTAGTGGATGATTTATGAATGGTGAAGCAACATCAGTCCTGTCTTAATGTGACAAGTGCAATCGCTTTGATGCTACTCAAAGGATGCCTGGTCATGGAATATGGGTTTATTCATGTTTGCAGTATGAATTTCAGCACTTTTCTGACTTATTCACAAAATTTGCTCGGAAAGACATCCATAATCACAGTTTTTTTATTGTTTCAACAATGGATTGTCCCTTTAAATAATCTACCCAAATCTCCACGCTAACAATATCTACTACTCATCAACCAACAACAACTACTACTACTACTACTACTACTTCTACTTCTACTACTACTACTACTACTACTACTCATTTTACAGATAAATATTGAATGTACCAAAAAGCTCTGGAAACTTTGGCACCCTTGAAAGACCTTTGGAAAACATTGATATGGAATGTTAAAATTCTCACATCAAGATATGAGAATATCAAAATACATTTGAAGAATTAGTTATACTTACTTACGGTAACCACAACAACAAAACCAACTGCAACTACTTATTTCACTACATCTAGTGCTACTAGGATTTTAAATCAAACCTACGGTGCCCAAAGGCTGTCGCGGTATAACTACAGTAAAGTCTATAGACATTGGCAGAAATCCTATTATTTTGTCATTTGTCAGCATGTCACTAAGGTTAAATGTAGCTAACAGCTAGTTTCAATCACAAGTGTTACCCTCCATCACTGTGATCCATGCCACTACCATTGCAGTTACTGTGGGGAGGTAAACAACATGCAGATAAACTTTTAGCCAAATGTTTAAATGAAAACAAAAAATCATAGTGACAGACAGAGGGACAGACAGACAGACAGACAGACAGACAGACAGACAGACAGACAGTAACAGACAGCAACAGACAGCAACAGACAGAGTGATAGACAGACAGTAACAGACAGTAACTGTCAAAGGGACAGACACCATGAAGGACAGCTTGGCTTGAAAGCTACAGTATACAAAGATAAAGACCCCTTCTAAATAGTTTATTAACAGTACAGTAGATAGACAATACAGACCATACAGAACAGTACACCATCTACAGTACATAGTCTCATAGTCACCTTCGCCAGCGTTGTAGGCCAGTATGGAGCGGGTCCTCAGCTGCTTGCCCTCAATGGTTTTGCTGGAACAGGTTTGGGAGCAGGAAGACCAGGAGGTCCAGTCGCTGAGGACACAGTCCTTAGGGCAAGGCACCTCACAGGCGATGGGCTCAGGGGCAGGGGCTCCCCCACACAGCTCCTTGTCCACCATGTCACCTGGGTGGCACAAAGAATGGTACGGTCAAGGAATGCACACCATTATAACAATAGAAAAACAGAATATTCAATACAGAAACAAATCTCAAAGCAAAAAACGGAATCTGTAATTGTACTACACTTTATATAACTTAGCAGACTCTTATCCAGAGCGTCTTACAGGAGCAATTAGGGTTAAGTGCCTTGCTCAAGGCACAGACAGATTTTTTCACCTAGTCGGCTCGGGGATTCAAACCACTAGGCTACCTGCCACCCTCCATTATAATGTTCTACAATATGATAAACCACACTACAATTTCCTGGTCCATCGGTGGGCTTGTTTATATATTGTTTCCTTAGTATCATTGAATGCTAATCAATTTCAACCCACACAATTAATTAACACAGCCATTCAATTTGATCTGTTGTCTTCCTTTTGACATCACAGTTGGATCAAATGTTTGGTGACTGTTTAATAGCATGCTGGGTTAAGGTTATCAAGGATAATCTGTACAATATATTAATATTGATGTCTCTATTCTCAATGCAACTCGATCTGAATACTGAATTAGCTTTGGACATAGTAAGTACAAACTCACTTGGGAACATTTTACACTTACACATTTATGATTTATGAGTGCTTAAGTGGGTTATACTATTAAGCCACATATTCTGTATGTGCTTTTAGAGGATTAACCTTTTACTGTAGTGGGCTAAATCAGGGTCACACAGAGTGTTTCTTGGTAGTCTTAAACAAATCTACTTTGAAACAAAAGTATATACCTCACACACATGGTTATGGACTTACAAGAAAGAAGACACCTGTACCATGTCAGATATAGAGTTGAAATGTATTCAATTTTGAGTTTGCATCCCAATATTACACTTCATATACATCACAGAAGACTGAAATATAACAAAACCGTTTGACATAGAAACACCAGATTTTAGGCACACAAAAAAACAATGATGTTTATTATTTATGAAATTATGAAAAATATTAATAATATTCCACCCATGAGGCCACTAGAGAGCGATTTGGTCATTTGACTGCAGGAAAGGGCTACCATGTTGCAATGAACTGAATTCAAGACATTTGAATTCAAGACAATTCAGCACTCCAAATGAGCAACACAATGGCTCTGTAGAGTAAATATGTATGTTCCGACAGTTGGTTTTTGCAATTTCAGGCTGAGGATGAGTTGAGCTTCAAACCCTCCGAACGGCCTGCCTTTGCATTACGATGTCACTGATGAGTATTCAGCGAACCAATCGTGACTGAACCGAGACAGTGTGGAAATGCAAAGTGACAGGGAAACCCAGTGGCTCTCACGGTGATGAAAACATGAATGAACAAAACAGAGAAAAATGGTTCCTTTTAAATGAGTCAGAACAGTGAATATCAGTATATATCAGAAGCTCTCAGTATCGACAGTGGCGTTTCAATGACATTTGTATAGACCCCTGTCTGTGGTGTGGCTGTTTGCTGTTGCTGTGGTAGTTTCATAAGATTCAGCCTCAGTGTGAGGAAAAGTTCGGAAGACAGACATTGAGCCCAAAGTCTCTAGGGCAAAAAGTTGCCCAAAATCATAACACAACAAATCAATTTCCATCAGCGGAGACAGGGGGAATCAGTCAACGCCAGTCAAAATAGGCAGAAAAACACAAAGAGGTTATGCCTCTCACAGAGCTACTAGGAAGACATCACCTGACCTGGCAATAACCCTGAATGTCACTAGTGGATGTACATGTACAGTATGTCCTGTATGAGGTAAAATGACAATGTAACGTAGGATGAGGATGAGTTTTTCAGAATTTGGAGGACGATAAGAGAGGTTATTGTCAAAGGAGTATCGTAGGAGTATGATTTGGACTCAATCCATTACAGTGCCTGTATATATCTCTGTGTATCTCTTTGATATCTCTCTATATCTCTTTCATAACACTCAAACTAGGAATGGTGACTATACTTGGGATTGATAGCATAAGCATCTTGGTCAATTGCACCCATATTCTGAAACCTGCTCAAAACCCCAGACAGCATCTCTCTGCACCGACTGCCATTGTCTTCAGTCAAACATTCTTCAGTAATAAAGTGGAGCAGTAAAACCAGGAAGCTGAAAAGTTAAGGGAGTCCCCGAGACTCAGGGCCAGAGAGAATTGATTTGATTTAGTGCGAGCAGGGTTTAATTGCTCTGGCTGAGAGAGGGAAAGGGAGCGAGGGCAATATGTGGCTATGCTGAACTAGGGAAGCGTTAAAGGAGATGGGGATGTGAGGTGGAGGAGGGTGTCTGGAGAGAACTCCATGATAAATGGCAACCATGATAAATGGCATGGCGGCTAACCACCATTCTCTCTCTAGTCGTCTCCAGCTCTTCACTCACTTACAGTACAGCCATGAGGTACAGCCATGAGTTAGGGGGTTGGTAGAGAGGTCACCTTGAGCAACATATGATTTTTCATCCAGAGGGTGATACCCTGACTTAAGGCGTCAGCATGTTTTAGTTTGGCTGGTGCCTAGCCGAATTCGGCTAGCCGAAGCAAATGAGTGTGCTCGCATACTCCCTTAAAAGATCTTCACTTGAAAAACAAGAAAAAAGCGTGCAATTGTCCATTTTGATAGCCAGTATACATTTCCTCAAAATAGTCAGAATTAATCTAAGATAACTCAAGAAATCTATAATAAATGTTGACTTTCTTAGCCGCACAATTTTACATCTAACTAAGATGTTTGGTGTAGTATTTCTCAAAAAAAAAAATTGCATGAAAATGAGTCGCCTTTATTGAAGAATCCCTATTGTTGACCAATCACCAATGAAGGGGCGTGGACTTCGGCTCCGAACTTCGGCTTGCCTCCAGAAAAAAATGTATGTGGCCGAACAGCCGGGAAAACCCTCACCGAAGTCCAAAACAAACAAAAACGTCACAAAATGTCATCATATAATATATGCACAAACTTTTCCGAACTGTTTCGGCTGGGAAGCATGCGGACACCTTTATTCATCACAGATGGAAATAGTTAATCTGGAAGTGGTGGGCTACTCTTGGGGGGGATCAGGGAGCTGAGGTAACAATGTGGTGGATTCTGAGCATAATGGTAAGTCAGAATACTATAGTACAGTTTTATTGTTTCTACCCGAGTGGCAGTGGTTAAGGCATGCATCGCAGTGCTAGTGTGCCATAGAGATCTGGTTGAAATCAGGCTCTGTCGCACGCCGCGACGGGAGATCATGGGCAGCGCACAATTGGTCATACTGTCCAGGTTGATAGGCTCGTTGATAGAGCATGGCGTTTCAACGCAGGTTGTGGGTCATTTCCAACGACCAGTATGAAAAATAAATATATTAATATATGTATTCACATAACTGTAAGTCGCTCTGGATAAGAGCGTTGCTAAATGACTAAAATGTAAAATTGTACTATGCTAGCTTAGCAGGCATAACTGGTTGAAAAACGTTTAATGAGAAAATATCAATACAATTATTTTACGACGTAATTTCAATCAGTGTTGCTGTTCACACAGTGTAGTCAAGCAAACATCCACTGAAAATAAAGGACTCTATAATGTGCATTAACCGAATCAATAAACCAATCACGGAGCTTTATCTACAATCACACAGCAACGATTATAGAGACTGAGTTTAACGGAATTAACGAGGGAAAAATCCAATTGAAATTATCTTTAGCCGATAATTAGTTATTACTATGATTTTCCTCACCGGTGCTGTTGACACACTGGACCTGAGGTATCTGTGTCCCAGGGCCACACGGCAGCTCCCCGTCGGGGCTACACTCATCCAGTCTGACTAGGCGCCAGTCCCAGCAGCTGGGTTCATCACATGGGACAGCCTCCACCAGGTGAGGGCAGTTCCCTGGTCCACCCGTCGGCGCATTGCTGATCTCCCGTTTCCTCAGTTTAAAACCTGCGGAAGGAAAAATACACATAATTCCATTTAATATAAAAAATCAAATAGAAATACATAAAACCATATGAAAAAAATATATATAAAAACTCTGAAAAAATACATAATATGCCTAATTGTCCTCCTTTGGAATTGATCTCTTCAACAGCTCTCTCGAAATGGAATAATAGGATATGTTATTATGATAAGATTAGGATGAATGTAAAAGCGCAAGCAAATAATTGGCTAGTTAATTGTTGGCACTTTAACACATACTGTGATCAAACTGACCATAAATTGATACAAAGAGAGGATTTCATTGTGAAGAGCCAGCCGTGTAATTATCATGTGGGTGTGGGGCGGCAGGTAGCTTAGTGGTTAAGAGCGTTGTGCCAGTAACCGAAAGGTCGCTGGTTTTAATCCCCGAGCTGACTAGGTGAAAAATCTGTCGATGTGCCCTTGAGCAAGGCACTTAACCCTAATTGCTCCTGTAAGTCGCTCTGGATAAGAGCGTCTGCTAAATTACTAAAATGTAAACGTAATGTTAGATACTGCATTTATGCCAGAATATGTTTGTTCAAGAGGACCTTACAATGACTACAATAGCACCTACTACTATATATCCACAGGTAACCTTCTGAAACTATGCCATGTTCTGTAAATTCCATAACACCATGCATAACTCATGGCAAATACAAATCATATAACAATCATATGGCATGTTAACACTTAACTTTTTTTCAACTGTTTATGTTGTATAACAAGTGATATGCCAGTTGCCATTAGTTTGATAGGAGGGACATACACTGTATATTAAAACACATAAAACACATAATACCACATACAGTTGAAGTCGGAAGTTTACATAAACCTTAGCCAAATATATTTAAACTCAGTTTTTCACAATTCCTGACATTTAATCCTAGTACAAATTCCCTGTCTTAGGTCAGTTAGGATCACCACTTTATTTTAAGAATGTGAAATGTCAGAATAATAGTAGAGAGAATTATTTATTTAAGCTTTTGTTTCTTTCATCACATTCCCAGTGGGTCAGAGTTTTCATACACTCAATTAGTATTTGGTAGCATTGCCTTTAAATTGTTTAACTTGGGTCAAACATTTTGGGTAGCCTTCCACAAGCTTCCCACAATAGGTTGGGTGAATTTTGGCCCATTCCTCCTGACAGAGCTGGTGTAAATGAGTCAGGTTTGTAGGCCTCCTTGCTCGCACACACTTTTTCAGTTCTGCCCACAAATGTTCTATAGGATTGAGGTCAGGGCTTTGTGATGGCCACTCCAATACCTTGACTTTGTTGTCCTTAAGCCATTTTGCCACAACTTTGGATGTATGCTTGGGGTCATTGTCCATTTGGAAGACCCATTTGTGACCAAGCTTTAACTTCCTATTTTGTGAAGTGCACCAGTCCCTCCTGCAGCAAAGCACCCCCACAGCATGATGCTGCCACCCCCGTGTGTCACGACTTCCGCCGAGGCTGCCTCCCCTCCTTGTTCGGGCAGGCTTTGGCGTTCGTCGTCACCGGCTTATTAGCCACTGCCGCTCCATATATCATCATTCTATTTGTCTTGTCTTGTCAATTACACACACCTTGTTCATATCCCCTCATTAGTCTGTGTATAAGTGTTCCCTCTGCCCCCTTGTCCTTGTGGGTGATTGTTTTATGTGAGTTGAGTGTAGCTCGGTTGAGCTACTCGTACCTTGTATTGCCGGGGTAGATTATTCCCCTGTGTCTGTATTTTGTTGGAGCTACCCGTACCTTGTATTGCCGGGGTAGATTGTTCCCCTATGCCTGTATTTTGTTGTCGCTATCCAGCGCAACTGTGTACGACGGAATAAACTATGTATTTTGTGATTTACCCTCCTGCGCCTGACTCCGTCTTGAGATGTTGCTTCAATATATCCACATAATTGTCCTTCCTCATGATGCCATCTATTTTGTGAAGTGTACCAGTCCCTCCTGCAGCAAAGCACCCCCAAAGCATGATGCTGCCACCCCCGTGCTTCACGGTTGGGATGGTGTTCTTCGGCTTGCAAGCGCCCCCCCCCTTTTTCCTCCAAACATAACGATGGTCATTATGGGCAAAGAGTTCTATTTTTGTTTCATCAGACCAGAGGACATTTCTCCAAAAAGTACGATCTTTGTCCCCATGTGCAGTTGCAAACCGTAGTCTGTCTTTTTTATGGTGGTTTTGGAGCAGTGGCTTCTTCCTTACAGAGCGGCCTTTCAGGTTATGTCGATATAGGACTCGTTTTACTGTGGATATAGATACTTTTGTACCTGTTTCCTCCAGCATCTTCACAAGGTCCTTTGCTGTTCTTCTGGGATTGATTTGCACTTTTCGCACCAAAGTACGTTCATCTCTAGGCGTCTCCTTCCTGAGCGGTGTGACAGCTGCGTGGTCCCATGGTGTTTATACTTGCGTACTATTGTTTGTACAGATGAACGTGGTACCTTCAGGCGTTTGGAAATTGCTCCCAAGGATGATCCAGACTTGTGGAGGTCTACATTTTTTTTCTGAGGTCTTGGCTGATTTATTTTGACTATAGTTTGTTAACAAGAAATTTGTGGAGTGGTTGAAAAACGAGTTTTAATGACTCCAACCTAAGTGTATGTAAACTTCCGACTTCAACTGTATGTGTTATGAAAGCATTATGCTAGCATTACCACACCAAATATAGACACAGTCACCAAAAAACATTCCAACCCATACCCATTAAGGCCCTGCAGTGGACATACAGGTAACACTTTATATGGATATTCCCAAGTAGATGGTTTGTAGATGTTCAGTAGATGTTCCATAACTGTCAACAAGATTTCAACTAACTATCCACTAACCCTAACCCTAGTCCTAACCTTAACCATTATCCTAACCCTAATCTTAACCCTTACTGTACGTAACCCTTATTTTAAATCTAACCCTAACCTTAGCAAGCATTTGCTTATCAACAGATAGTTTGTTAATAGTATGACCATCTGTAGATCATCTATATGGGACTATCCAAATAAAGTGTGATCGACATACAATAGTCCCAGTCAAACTCTTATCCACACACCTTTCTTCCCTTCTTGGACATCACAGTTCTCATAGGTGCAGGGTCCCCAGGCCCCCCATGGGGACACTTCACACTCGATGGGACAGGGGATGTGACACAGCTGGGACGTGTTGGGGACGGGACCTCCACACAGCTTGCTGTCCACAGGACGGGATGCTAGGGACATGGAAATAAGGGACAGGCATTCAAATATACTTACAGTATAGTCAGAAATATACTTATATATTCAGAAATATATGTAAACTCCCCTATGTATTTATTTGGACAGTGAAGCTAAAACATTTAATTTGGCTCTATACTCCAGGATTTTGGATTTGAAATCAAATGTTTCATATGAGGCGACAGTACATAATGTCACCTTTAATTTGAGGGTATTTTCATACATATCTGTTTTACTGTTTAGAAATTAAAGCACTTTATGTATGTAGTCACCCCATTTGAGTGAGAACGTTACAGAGGCACAAATATCATACCCCCAAGACATGCTAACCTCTCACCATTACCAATAACAGGGGAGGTTAGCATTTTATGGGGGGTATTATATTTATGCCCCTGTAACTTTCTCACTCATCATTGTTCACGATTCATTCATGATTATCCGTAATCATGGTACACATAAAATAAAATTAAATTAAATTGTATTTGTCAAATGCTTCATAAACAACAGGTGTAGACTATCAGTAGAATAACGGGGCCTTTTCCAACAATGCAGAGTTAAAGATAAAAAATTAATATAAAGATACATTATTTACCATTTCTATTGGGCACAACATAATCTGAAACACAACCAAAACAAAACGCAAAACCTTGATGTAATCATTGCATGCTAGAATTATGCCTTTTTGCTACTTTAATACACATGTAAGTGAATTTGTCCAAATACTTAACACCTTCAAATGGGGGGACTAGATACATAAAGTACTTTAATTTCTTAATGGTAAAACAGATATGTTGGAGTATAGAGCCAAATTAAACGTTTTAGCTTCACTGTCCAAACAAATACTTAGGGGAGTGTATATACTCTAATTCTCTCGTTCTCTCTTTCTCTCTGAGAACCTGAGCCCTAGGACCATACGTCAGGACTACCGGGCATGATGACACCTTGCTGTCCCCAGTCCGCCTGGCCTTGCTGCTATTCCAGTTTCAACTGTTCTGCCTGCGGCTACGAAACCCCTACCTGTCCCAGACCTGCTGTTTTCAACTCTTAATGATCGGCTATGAAAAGCCAACTGAGAGACCTGAGCCCTAGGACCATACGTCGGGACTACCGGCCGTGGTGACTCCTTGCTGTCCCCAGTCCGCCTGGCCTTGCTGCTATTCCAGTTTCAACTGTTCTGCCTGCGGTTATGGAACCCCTACCTGTCCCAGACCTGCTGTTTTCAACTCTTAATGATCGGCTATGAAAAGCCAACTGAGATTTATTCCTGATTATTATTTGACCATGCTTGTCACTTATGAACATTTTTGAACATCTTGGCATGGTTCTGTTATAATCTCCACCCGGCACAGCCAGAAGAGGACTGGCCACCCCTCATAGCCTGGTTCCTCTCTAGGTTTCTTCCTAGGTTTTGCCTTTCTAGGGAGTTTTTCCTAGCCACCGTGCTTCTACACCTGCATTACTAGCTGTTTGGGGTTTTAGGCTGGGTTTCTGTACAGCACTTCGAGATATTAGCTGATGTAAGAAGGGCTATATAAAATAAAATTGAAATTGATTGATATATACTAACATAGTCATACTAACATAGTAATAAATATACTGATATATTCTGAAATATACCAATATACCCAGATAAATACTGAGAAATAGATGCACAAATATACTGAAACAGATTAACTGTTAGATTAGATACAGCAATGGTATTTAAGTATTGTCTTGGAATACTGTGAAGGTGAGGTGCTGCCATATTCCTGCTATTTCCCTTTGTTTATGGCCCCACTGTTAGCATACTGTTAGCATGCCAGAGTGATAAATTAACTCTGATTAACCTTTCAGCGCTATCTAACACTTGAAACAACATAAAGACAGGCCCACCATTCTCACTGAAGACACATGAAGGGTGTACCGAAGGTGTGAGAGAGCTGCAGTGTCTCCTCTCATACATATTCTATGAAGAATAATCCAGTGCTATGATTCCCCTGTTGTAGCGCTTCAGATTTAGAAGCTGTATACACGATGCGTATATTCCCGCCGAGGAACTTCACTTCACGCAAAGGAACAAAAGAGATATTGTTTTTCTCTGCAAGAGAATAAGTGAAGCCGACTGTGAGACGCCATTTTCTGGATGTTTCTTTAATGCACTTGAATAAATGGGTTTGTTTGAAGTTGGAGTGGAAAGTTGGTGGGTGGTTTTGTGTGTCTGTCACATCAAAGCTGTTTTGGAACGCAGCACAGTGCGGGTTGTCCTGGTTGATGCAACAAAGGCTCTTGATCACCTAACAGATTGTCCAAAGCCAACCCCACTACCTTGGGCTCCACTGTCTAATTGACACCCCTCTGCCACAGCATATGAACACACACGCACAGATGCAATGTGCAGAGGCAGATGTTATTGCGGGTGTATCGAAATGCTTGTGCTTCTAGCTCCGACAGTGCAGTAATATCTAACAAGTAATATCTAACAATTTCACAACATATACCCGATACACACAAATCTAGTAAGGAATGGAATTTAAGAATATATACATACAGTGGGGAGATTTGATACACTGCCGATTTTGCAGGTTTTCCTACTTACAAAGCATGTAGAGGTCTGTAATTTTTATCATAGGTACACTTCAACTGTGAGAGACGGAATCTAAAACAAAAATCCAGAAAATCACATTGTATGATTTTTAAGTAATTAATTTGCATTTTATTGCATGACAAGTATTTAAGTATTTGATCACCTACCAACCAGTAAGAATTCCGGCTCTCACAGACCTGTTAGTTTTTCTTTAAGAAGCCCTCCTGTTCTCCACTCATTACCTGTATTAACTGCACCTGTTTGAACTCGTTACCTGTATAAAAGACACCTGTCCACACACTCAATCAAACAGACTCCAAACTCTCCACAATGGCCAAGACCAGAGAGCTGTGTAAGGACATCAGGGATACAATTGTAGACCTGCACAAGGCTGGGATGGGCTACAGGACAATAGGCAAGCAGCTTGGTGAGAAGGCAACAACTGTTGGCGCAATTATTAGAAAATGGAAGAAGTTCAAGATGATGGTCAATTACCCTCGGTCTGGGGCTCCATGCAAGATCTCACCTCGTGGGGCATCAATGATCATGAGGAAGGTGAGGGATCAGCCCAGAACTACACGGCAGGACCTGGTCAATGACCTGAAGAGAGCTGGGACCACAGTCTCAAAGAAAACCATTAGAAACACACTACGCCGTCATGGATTAAAATCCTGCAGCGCACGCAAGGTCCCCCTGCTGAAGCCAGCGCATGTCCAGGCCCGTCTGAAGTTTGCCAATGACCATCTGGATGATCCAGAGGAGGAATGGGAGAAGGTCATGTGGTCTGATGAGACAAAAATAGAGCTTTTTGGTCTAAACTCCACTCGCCGTGTTTGGAGGAAGAAGAAGGGTGAGTACAACCCCAAGAACACCATCCCAACCGTGAAGCATGGAGGTGGAAACATCATTCTTTGGGGATGCTTTTCTGCAAAGGGGACAGGACGACTGCACCGTATTGAGGGGAGGATGGATGGGGCCATGTATCGCGAGATCTTGGCCAATAACCTCCTTCCCTCAGTAAGAGCATTGAAGATGGGTCGTGGCTGGGTCTTCCAGCATGACAACAACCCGAAACACACAGCCAGGGCAACTAAGGAGTGGCTCCGTAAGAAGCATCTCAAGGTCCTGGAGTGGCCTAGCCAGTCTCCAGACCTAAACCCAATAGAAAATCTTTGGAGGGAGCTGAAAGTCCGTATTGCCCAGCGACAGCCCCGAAACCTGAAGGATCTGGAGAAGGTCTGTATGGAGGAGTGGGCCAAAATCCCTGCTGCAGTGTGTGCAAACCTGGTCAAGACCTACAGGAAACGTATGATCTCTGTAATTGCAAACAAAGGTTTCTGTACCAAATATTAAGTTCTGCTTTTCTGATGTATCAAATACTTATGTCATGCAATAAAATGTCTCGTCATTATTGGTAATCAAGACTACTACTGTTGTGTCGTCTGCAAACTTGATGATTGAGTTGGAGGTGTGCTTGGCCATGCAGTCATGGGTGAACAGGGAGTACAGGAGGGGGCTGAGCATGCACCCTTGTGGGGCCCCAGTGTTGAGGATCCGCGAAGTGGAGATGTAGTTTCCTACCTTCACCACCTGGGGGCGGCCCGTCAGGAAGTCCAGGACCCAGTTGCACAGGGCGGGGTTCAGACTAAGGGCCTCGAAGCTTAATGATTAGCTTGGAGGGTACTATGGTGTTGAATGCTGAGCTATAGTCAATGAACAGCATTCTTACATAGGTATTCCTCTTGTCCAGATGGGATAGGGCAGTGTGCAGTGTGATGGCGATTGCATCGTCTGTGGATCTATTGGGGCGGTAAGCAAATTGAAGTGGGTCTAGAGTGACAGGTAAGGCAGAGGTGATATGATCCTTGACTAGTCTCTCAAAGCACTTCATGATGACAGAGGTGAGTGCTACGGGGCAATAGTCATTTAGTTCAGTTACCTTTACTTTCTTTGCTACAGGAACAATGGTGGCCATCTTGAAGCATGTGGGAACAGCAGACTGGGAAAGGGAGAGATTGAATATGTCCGTAAACACACCAGCCAGCTGGTCTGCGCATGCTCTGAGGACGCGGATAGGGATGCCGTCTGGGCCGGCAGCCTTACGGGGGTTAACATGCTTAAATGTCTTACTCACGTCGACCACGGAGAAGGAGAGGCCACAGTCCTTGGTAGTGGGCCTCGTCGGTGGCACTGTGTTATACTCAAAGCAGGCGAAGAAGGTTTTTAGCTTGTCTGGAAGCGAGACGTCAGTGTGGGTAACGTGGCTGTTTTTCCTTTTGTAGTCCGTGATTGTCTGTAGACCCTGCCACATACGTCTTGTGTCTGAGCCGTTGAATTGCGACTCCACTTTGTCTCTATGCTGATGTTTTGCCAGTTTAATTGCCTTGCGGAGTCAGTAGCTACACTGTTTGTATTCTGCCATATTCCGAGTCACCTTGCCATGGTTAAATGCGGTGGTTTGCGCTTTCAGTTTTGCGCGAATGCTGCCATTTTGGTTAGGGTAGGTTTTAATAGTCACAGTGGGCGCAACATCTTCTATACACTTCCTGATAAACTCAGTCACCGTATCAGTGTATTCGTCTAAATTATTTTTGCGAGCTACCCAGAACATATCCCAGTCCGCGTGATCAAAACAATCTTGAAGTGTGGATTCCGATTGGTCAGACCAGCGTTGAATAGTCCTTAGCACGGGTACTTCCTGTTTGAGTTTCTGCCTATAGGAAGGGAGGAGCAAAATGGAGTCGTGGTCAGATTTGCCGAAAGGAGGGCGGGGGAGGTCCTTATAACCATATCGGAATTTCGAATAGCAATGGTCGAGAATTTTAGCAGCGCGAGTACAACAGTCGATATGTTGATAGAACTTCGGCAGCCTAGTCCTCAAATTTGCTTTGTTAAAATCCCTGGCTACAATAAATGCAGCCTCAGGATATGTGGTTTCCAGTTTGCATAAATTCCAGGGAAGTTCTTTGAGGGCCGTCGTGGTATCGGCTTGAAGGGGGATATACACAGCCGTGACTATAACCCAAGAAAATTATCTTGGGAGATAATACGGTCCTGTCTGCGCGATGAACTGAGAACCCATCTGGCTGGACCGATTTTGACAGAATATCCCCAGAGAGCCATGTTTCCGTGAAACAAAGTATGTTACAGGCCTTGATGTCTCTCTGGAAAGAAATCCTTGCCCGGAGCTCGTCGAGCTTGTTAACCAGAGACTGAATATTAGCGAGTAGTATACTTGGAAGTGGTGGGTGGTGTGCGCGCCTCCTAAGTCGAACCAGCAGGCCGCTCCGAGTGCCTCTCCTCCGCCGGCGATGTTTTGGGTCAGCCGCTGAAAGCTAACAAAGGATCTGCTAGTCGCGAGGCCGCCATCCTTGTCGGCGCCAGTATACTGCCTAGTGTTCCCCCTCTTCTATCCATCAGCTTTGTGGACACAAACAGACGTACACACACGTAGACACATACACCTGTAAATATGCACCACTCCAGGACCTTGAAATGCTTCTTACGAAGCCACTCCTTCGTTGCCCGGGAGGTGTGTTTGGGATCATTGTCATGCTGAAAGACCCAGCCACGTTTCATCTTCAATGCCCTTGCTGATGGAAGGAGGTTTTCACTCAAAATCTCACGATACATGGCCCCATTCATTCTTTCCTTTACACGGATCAGTCGTCCTGGTCCCTTTGCAGAAAAACAGCCCCAAAGCATGAAGTTTCCACCCCCATGCTTCACAGTAGGTATGGTGTTCTTTGGATGCAACTCAGCATTCTTTGTCCTCCAAACACGATGAGTTGAGTTTTTACCAAAAAGTTATATTTTGGTTTCATCTGACCATATGACATTCTCCCAATCCTCTTCTGGATCATCCAAATGCACTCTAGCAAACTTCACACGGGCCTGGACATGTACTGGCTTAAGCAGGGGGACACGTCTGGCAATGCAGGATTTGAGTCCCTGGCGGAGTAGTGTGTTACTGATGGTAGGCTTTGTTACTTTGGTCCCAGCTCTCTGCAGGTCATTCACTAGGTCCCCCCGTGTGGTTCTGGGATTTTTGCTCACCGTTCTTGTGATCATTTTGACCCCACGGGGTGAGATCTTGCGTGGAGCCCCAGATCGAGGGAGATTATCAGTGGTCTTGTATGTCTTCCATTTCCTAATAATTGCTCCCACAGTTGATTTCTTCAAATCAAGCTGCTTACCTATTGCAGATTCAGTCTTCCCAGCCTGGTGCAGGTCTACAATTTTGTTTCTGGTGTCCTTTGACAGCTCTTTGGTCTTGACCATAGTGGAGTTTGGAGTGTGACTGTTTGAGGTTGTGGACAGGTGTCTTTTATACTGATAACAAGTTCAAACAGGTGCCATTAATACAGGTAACGAGTGGAGGACAGAGGAGCCTCTTAAAGAAGAAGTTACAGGTCTGTGAGAGCCAGAAATCTTGCTTGTTTGTAGGTGACCAAATACTTATTTTCCACCATAATTTGCAACGTACACACACTCAATCTATGATCCAAACATTGCATCAACGGTTGCAACACTTTCAATCAATTACACTTGTACACAAACACACTTTCTCACTAAGCAGGTTGTGAAGATCAAGATGTCCTTGCACATCTCTTTCCCTAACTCTGACAGCCAACAATATATTCAGAGCTTCAAGTCTTATCAAGTCAAGAAAGCTGAAATATAATTATACCGAATATACAGCGAAACGCAAGCACAGCTTTGAAATTGATATGCAAAAGGAATTATTCCCTTACAAATATTTTTGAGAGTCAAATACTGCATTTGGTAAGCCTGATAATCCTTGTATTATTAGTGTGCAGAACAGACTTCAATCGAAGTACATCAATCCATTCCAAATAGAAATTGTTGACCAACAGAGTAGTGTTGTTTGTGATTAAGAAAAACCCAGCATCTTCATTACACAACTTATACAATGTGCTTGTATTTCCTGCATTGTATTGAAACTACAATGGCAAATGTCCCTAGTGCAACTAATGTGAGTGTCGCTTATTGTGTGCCAGAGTAGCAAAACGGGGAAAAACATCTCACAGATGCTTTGCATATTCCATTTGGAAAAACAACACTGAGTTATTTCACCATTCCCACAAAAGTTTATGAAATTGTCCTGACATGCCAGGCAAATACTTTGTTGTCCTTCTTCCATACCACTTCTTGAAACCGTATATGCACGAACTTAGTTGAAAACACATGTTGGTGTTTCAGAAAACTACAGCACTTGAGATGCAAAATCTGCAGAGAGGCCAACCTATCAAAACACTGTCATAGTATCATCCATCAAAACATAAATACATGCATACAGTACATACAAGTAGAAGAGAGAAGCAGCAAGGAGGAGAAGAATGCGGTCTACAAGGCAGAGAGAGGAGGAGGTTTGGGTTGGTCTAAAGCACCTACCTGTAATTTCAAAGCTGATGGATAGAAGAGGGGGAACACTAGGCTTCTGCTGGTTTGGGGTCTGACCCTCTGCAGGCACAGGGAGATACAACTATTAGCAACACAGTCACTGGAAAGGGAGAGGGTTTTGGAAGTTGAGGCATATGTTAAGCACTATTACAGGAGTCTAGTGGTTTTCCAATATGAGACTGAGGCTTGTAGAAAAAATAAGAATGGGAAGCGCTACAGGGAAACACTTGTCGGTCTTTAAAAATGTAGATTCTAGTTACCCGAGAAACTGATCAACAGTCAGTTTTGCATTTTCCTCTCTTGAATGGTTAAGGTTTGGATTTGGGGAGGGTAAGCTGATCCTAGACCTGTGCTTAAGGATGTGTTCTTCTAAGAGCGTGGTGATTTAGTTTACGCATGCAGTGGTGGTTGCTGCAGACTTCACTGAGCCACTGTCTGCCTGTGTCTGCCTCTATCTATATGGCAGCTGGGAAGATTACCCCCTGATTGGGTAAGAGGAATCCTGCGCCAGGAAGATAAGAACACTCTCCTGTCTAACTCCCACACACACGCACTCACACACACTCAGACAGACACACATGGGAACGCATGCACATGCACACACACAACGCACACACACACACACAGACACACGTGGGAACACAAACATACACATGCATTTCAACAAAAACATTGTCCTTTAATGTCAGTCAATCTTTAACTGCACACTAATTTTGTTGTGTGAAAGACTGAATTTAAAATAGATTAAATTGAGATATTGTGGCACACAATACCCCATAATGTCAAAGTGGAATTATGTTTTTAGAAATGTTAGTATATTAATTAAAAATGAAAAGCTGTAATGTCTTGTGGCAATAAGTATCCAACCCTTTTGTTTACGGCAAGCCTAAATAAGTTCAGGAGTAAAAGTTTGATTAACAAGTCACATAAAAAGTGATAATAGTGCTTAGCATGATTTTTGAATGACTATTTCATCTCTGTACCCCACACATACAATTATCTGTAAGGTCCCTCAGTCGAGCAGTGAATTTCAAGCACAGATTCAACCACAAAGACCAGGGAGGTTTTCCAATGGTTCGCAAAGAAGGGCACCTATTGGTAGATGGGTAAAAAAAAGTAGACATTGAATATCCCTTTGAGCATGGAGCAGTTATTAGTTACACTTTGGATGATGTATCAATACACCCAGTCACTACAAAGATGCAGGCACCCTTCCTAACTCAGTTGCCGGCGAAGAAGGAAACCACTTAGGGATTTCACCATGAGGCCAATGGTGATTTTAAAACAGTTAAAGAGTTTAATGGCTGTGATAGGAGATAACTGAGGATGAATGAACAACATTGTAGTTACTCCACAATACTAACATAAATGACAGAGTGAAAAGAAGGAAGCCTGTACAGAACACAAATATTCCAAAACCTGCATCCTGTTTGCAATAAGGCATTAAAGTAATAACTTTTTGTCCTGAATACAAAGCGTTATGTTTGGGGCAAATCCAACACAACACATCACTGGGTACCACTCTTCATATTTTCAAACATGGTGGTGGCTGCATCATGTTATGGGCATGCTTGGCAATGGCAAAGACTAGGCAGTTTTGTTGGGATAAAAAGAAAACGGAATAGAGCTAAGCACAGGCAAAATCCTTTGTTCAGTCTGCTGTCCAACAGACACTGGGAGACAAAGTCACCTATCAGCTGGGCAATTCACTTAAACACAAGGCCAAATATACACTGGAGTTGCTTACCAAGACAACATTGAATGTTCCTGAGTGGCCTAGTTACAGTTTTGACTTAAATTGGCTTGAAAATCTATGGCAACACTTAAAAATGGCTGTATAGCAATGATCAACAACCAACTTGACAGAGCTCTAATACTTTTTTTAGAATAATGTGCAAATATTGTACAATCCGGGTGTGCAAAGCTCTTAGCTACTTACTCAGAAAGACTCACAGCTGCAATCACTGCCAAAGGTGATTCTACCATGTATTGACTCAGGGGATTGAATACTTATCTAATCAAGACATATTAGAGCTTTATTTTCCATTACATTAAAAAAATATATATACTTTTTCTTCCACTTTGACATTAGAGTATTTTGTGGAGATAGCTGACAAAAAAATGACAATTAAATCCATTTTAATCCCACTTTGTAACCCAACAAAATGTTGGGCACTGTAGATGTCACTGCTGTGTGTACTGTGCATGATAGGACACACAGAGTTTGTGTGTGTGTTTGTGCCCTGTGGTGCATCGGTCACAACAGGAGAGATAAATCTATCTTAATCATACTTAAAGGGGCAATCAGCGATTGCTACATCGTTTTTAAAAACGTTTAAATTAATTATATATACACATTGATCCAAAGAAAGAATATAACTTATACATTTCTCATGAGCTTAGTTCAACTGTTTAACCCCATCAGAATCCAAAATATAAACTTGTTTTACTCCAATGTGTGTAGACACCGTAATTGTAAACAAACACTGTATAGCCTCAAAACATGGTTGAAACTAAAGCTATGGTATCCTTGCATCAATAGCTCTGTCTATGAATTTGAAAGTGGTTACATTTCTCCAGCCTCATCCCTCAGCTGTTTACCAAATCAGTGGCGGGGTGTACACTTTGTTGTTGTTTGAACTGCAGATTGCCCCCTTTATGCTCAAGTTAGCACTTTCTCCTGTGCACTAAACATATTGTCAGAATACAATTATCACTCCACCAACAATTACCGTTCCAACGACAGGAACATCTCCTGATATAATAGCTAATTGTGCTTCCTGCGTAATGGAAATGCTTTTTGTTTTTCTCACACCATCTCCACTGGTGGTGCTTAGTCTTAGAATCTTTGCTAATATAATTACCAGTGCAGCATTGACTTCAACTGGGCTTGACAGGTCTGAGTGTCAAAGCCGGAATGTTCTCACTTTTCTAAGGCTTAAGAGTCACACCAGGACAGTTGATGCACAAAGCAGGTTATGTTATGAAAGGAGCCCCACTTCCCTTGTTGACTCTTGCTGCAGTATGCAGTGTTCAAGAGGTGTTATGGTAATTATGTAATGGCTACAGTAATTCTGTAATGCACTATAAGGATATTTGTATAGCACAAAACGTGATATAAATGGTGTTATTCAGATACTGCTGTTGTTAGGAAATGTGGGAATGGACACAAGATATGGAACTGTGAATACTGTACATGACAATGTGTGTTGCTGAATTTGTTAGACACAAGACAACAAACAGGATGACATGTCTCTGATGCTGAAATAGTTTGGTGTGCCAACATGTAACAATTTTGTCTTTGTTGTTGTGAAAGATTTGGGACTGTTTCGTACAACCTTTACAGACTTGAGACATGCAACAATATCAGACTTGGGACTACATTTATTTTTATGTTGATTATTTTATGAACATACCACAATCAGATATGTATTTGTTTTTTGGTATTGAGACAGTTTTACATAGGAAAGACTTTGTTATAAGAAAGTGTTAGGGACAGATCTAAATTCACTTTGGGGTCAGGTGGTCCAAAATAGGGGAGAATTGTCAAACTTGTTTTTTGCTTTGGGGAGGGTTGTGAGTCTTTATATTGGGCACAGGGAGGGTAGCACATTTTTCCCTGATTTACATTTGCTCTTCTGATCATATTTTCCCTATTAACAACGGCTTGACTTACTTTTGATATTACCCTAATAAAATGTAGAAACGTTTGTGAAGTTCTACTGCAGGCCTATGATATGAAGGCAATGCGCCCCATCACTCCAACTGACTCTGACAGTTGAACTTGAGGTGAGGAAGACTGTTTCAGGCCTACCAGAGTTACTTCTATAATCTAACAATATAATGCTTATCTTTATACAAAATATTCTGAAAATGTATGAATTAGCCTCCTTCTGTACGTCTATATCTGTATAGCAGATGTAGTAGCCATCTGACATAAAGAAATGCATGTCGGTGTTGTAGCATGCCACCGGCATATCTCGATCTCTCGCTATCTCTCTGGGGTTAGGCCTAAGCTTCTCTTCCTTTATATAGGCTATATATATTTATTAAAATGTTAAAATCATACAGTGGACACCTAAGCCTATAGGCCTATTCATGCAATGCCCTAAAAGCCAATAAAAAAAAAAAATAGTCTATCAAGTTTTGCATATGCTACATGTTGAAACACAAGGAAAAGTGTTTTAGTAATTTGTTATAGGCTGTTTTTAAGAACACGTAAATGTGGCTCATTTGGCCAATATCCCTCGTTTACTGATGGCGCTGCCTGCTCCAGGTCGGATCTGAATGCATATGGATGACTGGTAAATTTCTCAAATGTCTGGTAAATTAAAATCTTCCCTGTCATGTTGTCTGGCACCATATTTTCCTAAAGGAATCGCTGAAATGGCATATTGTTTTTATTAAGATTTTAGAATATTGTCATGAAAATCTGTCGCCGATTAGATGGAAACCTAGCTAGTGCGCTAGTCGCGTGTCACTTTCATTATGCCTGCACATGATGGTTCACCAGCAGCCCTAAACATCTAAAGAATATGCTACCAGCCAAACAAGCTTGTAAGAATTGTACTTAAACTCCCCCCTCATACTCATCTGGAGGTTGAGCTTTTTTTCATATCTATCTCTGTAATGTGTCTGTATCTATGTAATTGTATATGAATTTATGTAAAAATAGGGACCAGAATGGAAATCTTTGTGTATATACACTACCAGTCAGAAGTTTGGCCACACCTACTCATTCAAGGGTTTTTCTATATTTTTACTATTTTTTACATTGTAGAATAATAGTGAAGACATCAAAACTATGAAATAACACATACGGAATCATGTAGTAACAGAAAAAGTGTTAAACAAATCAAAATATATTTTATATTTGAGATTCTTCAAATAGCCACCCTTTGCCTTGATGACAGCTTTGCACACTCTTGGCATTCTCTCAACCAGCTTCATGAGGTAGTCACCTGGAATGCATTTCAATTAACAGGTGTGCCTTCTTAAAAGTTAATTTGTGGAATTTATTTCCTTCTTAATGCATTTGAGCCAATCAGTTGTGTTGTGACAAGGTAGGGGGGGGCTACATAAGATAGCCCTATTTGGTAAAAGACCAAGTCCATATTATGGCAAGAACAGCTCAAATAAGCAAAGAGAAACGACAGTTCATCATTACTTTGAGACATGAAGGTCAGTCAATCCGGAACATTTAAAGAACTTTGAAAGTTTCTTCAATTGCAGTCGCAAAAAACATCAAGCGCTATGATGAAACTGGCTCTCATGAGGCCCGCCACAGGAATGGAAGACCCAGAGTTACCTCTGCTGCAGAGGATAAGTTCATTAGAGTTACCAGCCTCAGAAATTGCAGCCCAGATAAATGCTTCACAGAGTTCAAGTCACAGACACATCTCAACATCAACTGTTCAGAGGGGACTGTGTGAATCAGGCCTTCATGGTCGAATTGCTGCAAAGAAACCACTACTAAAGGACTCCAATAAGAAGAAGAGACCTGCTTGGGCCAAGAAACACGAGCAATGGACATTAGATCGGTGGAAATGTGTCCTTTGGTCTGGAGTCCAAATTGGAGATTTTTACTGACAAATAAAATCAATCAATCAATCCAAACTGTGCAGCGGCCAATTGATGAATGGAAAGAGACATCTATTGCAAAACACCAAAAAGTTTTATGACATTCAGAGATTGTCAAGCCAAGCCTTTGATACTGGGTAAGCCTACACGGTAGGGAGGGATGCATTTTCTGTTTGTCGAGATTGACATAGTCTATTTATTGTGGTGTTGAAAACACAAACCATGATATCGAAGTGCCCAATGTTGGTATGCTTTGTTTATTGGTTGTATGGTTCATTGGCACAGAAAGCTGTTGGTGGAAAACTCGTTGCATATACAATATTTTATATAATTATAAATATGGCATCAAAATGTTGAAAATCTGATTTCCCCCTAGCTGATCATTGTCTGCAGCCGGTTCTGATTGTAGTGTTAATGAAACAGGCAGGGAGAGTGAGCTCGTCTGGGATGGTCGGTGAACCCCCAACCTGGCCCATCGACTGTGAAACAAAAGTATGCTGAAGTCGATATACACGTTTATAAATACAGGGTCGCTAAAGTTATTGTTATTTGTGGTCGTAAACATTATTTTGAGTTCATTCTATGAGGGGGGAGGGTGTTCCATTTATTTTAATGCACAAGGTGAGGGTCATGTGAAAATATTTTTTACGTTGGGGATATTTTTTTTTATGACACCTTGAGTTGGACCAGCCCCTCCCCCCCAGTACATTTCGATTTGTCCCTTACATATAGGAAAGACTTTGTTATAGAAAAGTGTTATATATAGAAAAGCCTCATTACCATCTTTGTCTTTGAGGTTGTTGAGGTAGGTCAGCAGTTCGGCGTTGGCCTGGACACAGTACACCTCTCGATTCTGGAGCCCTCCACCACACAGGCCGGTCTGGTTGCTACGCCGACGGTCCTGTTGGCTTAGCAACGAGTCCACTCTACAGTCGCTCCACTCTGTAGTCCTCCATGTGTAACTGTGACGGTGACAGACAGAGATGGGTGTGTGGGTGTTATGCTGTCAAAACACATTTGTAATCTGACTGAGGTTTCTTTAGCTAATCAAATCCCTGACATGTCTGTGCTATAAAAACACATTTGTGACTTGTGTGTTGATCTGTTCAACCTGCATCTGAGGCTGCAGCTGCAGCTGCCAAACTTGAATTACACTAATCCTTATCGTTCCATTTCAACTTCAATAGCTATCAGCTCCATTTTTGGTCTAATTGCTTCCAATCCATGTAACACATGAGTAATATGAAAAGGTACATTTTAGTTCTAAAAATAATCCATTTTCAAAGGCTATGTTACGGCACCAATCTTTCTCCATATGCTCTCTCCTCCACCACACACACAGGCCCACACAAACAAACTCCTAAGGGTCACCCAGGAGAGCAAATTAGCTAGGTGAAGTAGCTAATGGGAAATCAACAGGAGGAATGTATCACCTCTGTCAGTGAGAATCCAGTAGACTTTGGGATGTTAGTGCACTAAGTGGTTCCAATTGGTTGAACATTTCCTGGAGGGCTATCAGGTTCCTGAACTATGTACAGTAGTATCTTTAGACACACTGATCCTACTGTGTAATACATTACATTTGGACACGACATTACGTAATTTTAAATTCCACTAATACAACATTGATTTAACCCACTTTCAAGCTCTAGGCCTCTCATGATTGTTCAGTATCTTTCTCACCATATATTTAGTGTAAAACTAGAACTTCCACACATACAGCCATACATCCTCACTCACGTGGCACAGGGCGGTACTCCATCCCACTGGGGGTCACATGGCTCTGTCTCCTCCAGCGGCGGGCAGTCCTCCCCCTCCCCCACGGAGAACTGGAGCATGCGTCTGGTCCTGGAGCGTTGGCCCCGGGGGGACTCAGGGTCTGGGTCTACACAGGCCTTGGAGCAGGGGCCCCAGTCTGCCCACTCGCTCAGCTCACAGTCCTTAGCGAGGATGCAGGACTGGACCGTCAGAGGGAGGTCCCTGGGTAGACACCGACTGGAACACAGAGGAGAGGTGAGAACAGAAGTGGCAAGGTCAGTAATCTGAGATCTGTCTGCGGTCTGCCTGCAATTTGAGACAGTGGATGTGAAAGCTGGTCCTGAGGGAGCCCTGTGTGTGCTGGTGGTCCTAGACCAAAGCATTAGTGGTCAGTGGGTTTCAAAGTCAGTCGAGGTACATTTTGAGGTAGAATTTGTGGAATGTTGGTTTTCGTACTGTCTATTGCAGTGTATCATTCATCAAAGAAGCACACATTGTCTTACGTCAGATAGAGCATTGTGTAGGATTGACGCTACCACCTGTCGGAAGACAATGGGAAGCCAGGGGTCATTCATCAATGAGCTGGACGTACAGTACCCCTTGACTTTTTCCACATTTTGTTACGTTACAGCCTTTTTCTAAAATGGATAAAATAAAATACAATCCTCAGCATTCTACACACAATACCCCATAATGACAAAGCGAAAACAGGTTTTTAGATATTTTTGCAAATGTATTAAACATTTTAAACAGACATACCTTATTTACATAAGTATTCAGACCCTTCGCTATGAGACTCGAAATTGAGCTCAGGTGCATCCTGTTTCCATTGATTATCCTTGAGATGTTTCTACAACTTGATTGGAGTCCACCTGTGATAAATTCTATTGATTGGACATGATTTGGAAAGGCCCACATCTGTCTATATAAGGTCCCACAGTTGACAGTGCATGTCAGATCAAAAACCAAGCCATGAGCTCGAAGGAATTGTCCTTAGAGCTCCGAGACAGGATTGTGTCGAGGCACAGATCTGGGGAAGGGTACCAAAATAATTCTGCAGCATTAAAGGTCCCAAAGAACACAGTGGTCTCCATCAATAAATGGAAGAAGTTTGGAACCACCAAGACTCTTCCCAGAGCTGGCCGCAAGGTCAAACTGAGCAATCGGGGGAGAAGGGCCTTGGTCAGGGAGGTGACCAAGAACCCAGTGGTCACTCTGACAGAGCGCCAAACTTCCTCTTTGGAGATGGGAGAACCTTCCAGAACGACAACCATCTCTGCAACACTCCACCAATCAGGCCTTTATGGTAGAGTGGCCAGACGGAAGCCACTCCTCAGTAAAAGGCACATGACAGCCCGCTTGGAGATTGCCAAAAGGCACCTAAAAACTTTCAGACCATGAGAAACAAGATTCTCTGGTCTGATGAAACCAAGATGGAACTCTTTGGCCTGAATGAAGCATGGTGGTGGTAGAATCATGCTGTGGGGATGTTTTTCAGCGGCAGGGACTGGGAGACTAGTCAGGATCGAGAGAAAGATGAACGGAGCAAAGTACAGAGAGATCCTTGATAAAAACCTGCTCCAGAGCGCTCAGGATCTCAGACTGGGGCGAAGGTTCACCTTTCAACAGCCAAGACAACACAGGAGTGGCTTCGGGATAAGTCTCTGAATGTCCTTGAGTGGCCCAGCCAGAGCCTGGACTTGAACCCGATAGAACATCTCTGGAGAGACCTGAAAATAGCTGTGCAGCAACGCTCCCCATCCAACCTGACAGAGCTTGAGAGGATCTGCAGAGAAGAATGGGAGAAACTCCCGAAATACAGGTGTGCCAAGCTTGTAGCATCATACCCAAGAAGACTAGAGGCTGTAATCGCTGCCAAAGGTGCTTCAACAAAATACTGAGTAAAGGGTCTGAATACTTATATAAATTAGCAAATATTTCTAAAAAGCAGTTTTTGCTATGTCATAATGGTGTATTGTGTATAGATTGATGAGGGAAAAAAACTATTGAATCCATTTTAGAATAAGGCTGTAACGTTATAAAATGTGGAAAAAGTCAAGGGGTCTGAATACTTTTCGAATGCACTGTAAGTACATTATACTAATACTATCATGTACTATATTGAACTAATACTTGTACTATAGTAGCATTTACGTTATACTAAGCATGTTGTAATAAGCTGTACTCAAGAATCCTTAGGGAACGGACTGGCATTGAACCCTAGTCCTCAACCCATCAGTCATCACACCTTAATAAACATGCATAAAAAAAGTTGTAAAGGGTTTTGTACAACAGCCCCCACATTTAGGTAGTGAATTTGATTGCTGTTTCAAATCCGGCTCGAAGGGCCATGAAAAAGAGGGGTTTTGTACATGTAATTCAATACGAAACATAAAGTTACTTATACTAGGTTCATACCTACATCAATTCTGAAGGGTTGTGCCTCAAAAGCATTAGAGTGGTAACAACAACTGATCAATCACCAAAAGCAATCACTCTGTTAATCATTCAACTTGCAATTAGAGCTAATGAATAAACGCTGCCTCTTTAAGCTCCTTCAAATTATTAGGAATTAAAGCCAACCATTTTCTGTTCCTTGCTCTGCAGTGTGCATCGTCTTTCCCCTGAGGCGTTGCAGCTGACGAGCTTTTAGTGCTAATTACAGCTCTGCTTCATTTAGAAACCTCTCATTTAGACGACGCCAATGCCAACCTTCACCTCTAGCTTCTCACACTTCGGCTAGAAATGGTTTGAAAACGCTTGAAAAAGAGTCTGAGTTGTGTTTTTAACCCCTCTGTCTCCACAGATCAAGATACCCTTGAATTATTTGATGTGGTGGGCCTGCAGGTGTGACGTCACAACGAGATTAGTTGTGCTGCCAACAAGGCACGCTGATAGAGTTAATTCTCAGTGAAAAACATTCAGGAATTAAAACAAAGGTTTTGTGACACAGTGAGGATAATGGCTCGCTTCCTGACTCAGATGAAACTTCACACATGCTTAAAAAGCCTTAAAGCTCACGGCAACTCGATCCCTTTCAGTATTTAATGTTTTTGTTGTGTCGACTTTTTATTATATTCTGCATTGTTTTGGGGGTTTTGAAGTCTTGAAAGTAGTCATTATTTTTGTATCTCCGTCAGACAGAATAGGGACAGACAAACAATTTCATTTGAAATAAGAGAGTAATAACATTTCAAAAACCCTCAAACTCTCATTTTAAAACCACTAAAGGTTATACAACAAACAACAAGAAATTCCATGAAATTCCACAAAACAGAGTTTGGTTTTTGAAGAATATCCACATTGAACACAAACATGGTCCTCTGTAGCTTAATTGGTAGAGCATGGTGCTTGTAACGCCAGGGTAGTGGGTTCGATCCCCGGGACCACCCATACGTAAAAATGTATGCGCACATGACTGTAAGTCACTTTGGATAAAAGCGTCTGCTAAATGGCATATTATTATTATTAGACAAGACTTTGGCTAAGAAATATGTTGTACAATTGAAGCCTACAAAACAGGCTGTGCTATGTGGGTCAGGGAATGTGAAACCCTGTGAGAAATCTTTTAACAATCTTATTTAGCGCCTTGATGAAAACACAGTTTAGAAAACAGAGTGGAATGGTTGTAAGGCCAATGAGGCCAGTGAAGAGAAACATAAGCATGGTGCCATTTGGGACACTCAAATTTGAACTAAAATATATAAAGTTATACTTTCTAGAAGTGCTTCTGGTGGTAAATGGAAACCTCAGAGGCCACCATGCAAGCTGGAACCTACAGTAAATAGCCTACACATGCATGCTGATTTCATATGATTACATGTGAAGCCAGACACTATTCTACAACCAGGCTATAGCAAAGTCTAATGAGTCAAGAGAAAGCTGTGGCCCAATGATCACAGATGATGATCAAACAAAATGGGAAATGAAGTCAGCAATATGTTTGGAAGACGACTGCCTAGATTCACTGGGTTATCTGTTCAGAGAGAACCCAGCAAACCGGGAACATTTTCAGAACATTAGCGAAGATTCTCATTAAGTTCTAGTTAGGGTTTTATCTAACATTAGGATGATAACATCCCAAAAACATACAAAGAATGTTTTTGATAACAAAATGTGGTTTTTTTTATGTTTTAAATGAAATATCCTTGGAATGTTCTCTTAACATTCACTAAGATATTGTGCACAACATCTGTAACAACCACCACAGAACATTCCCCCAAATGTTCTCATTAGGTTTCCAGGTAATGTAATAACACAACAAAATATGAGAGCAACGTTCTGGGAACATTCTTGCAACATCAGGCAAATGTTTTATACAAACATTGTATAATCATCATCACAACTGGACAGTTTTTGCGTTATGAGAACATTGCCGCAACCTAACGAATGTTCTGGGAACTTCCACAGAAACTATTTTGGTTTGCTGGGAAGTTTGTTCCACTTTTCTGAAGTGGCAAAAACAATTATGAATATTTCAGAACTAGAAATAAACAAATAAAATATTAATATTTACATTCCTAAGGGCATGAGATTTATTTTCACGGTTCTTTTGAAATATTTGATCCCAGCCACTGCTGAGAAGTTTGCACCAACAGCGCATTAATGAATGTATTTAGTACATAATTGATCAAATCTATATAATGCTATATAACGGAGACCGTAGCTCTCCTTGCTAGAGATGAAAGACCTCATGGATTCTAAGATGAGAGGTACCATGCTGACATTTGAAGTTACTGTCACTCAGCATAAAACAAAGACATCATTCAACGCCAAATAAAGAGCTTCAAGGCAAGACAGGGTTAGGGACCGCCTCAAGCCAAGACAGGGCCCAAGGAAATGTCAGTTTACTTGGAGGGCACGCATGCAGTCTTGTCTACTATATATTGCATATAAGATACAGTATGTGAAGAACCTGAATCATCAAGTATTTGGTCAACAGCATTTAAAAATAAATGACTGTACTTTTTTAAGTTGAACTGAAATTACTCTTAGTAATCAAGCTTTTTGATTTGAAATGCTTTTCTCTTTCCTCACACGTAACAATACCAATACAATGATGTGCATTGTGCAACTCATCCTGCTGTTTTACAGTCGAAGATCACAGAATACTTTTCAAAGTGCTTTACAAAGTGCTGGCTACGATTCAATCCCTGACATGGAATGAGCACCAGTGAATATAGAGTTGAAAGTAGACACCAGAAAGTGGGAGTGCTCCATTGCTTTGACAGCAAAGCAGAGACAAATAACCATTCCCCTACCTGTCATCCACTGTACATCAGTACAGTACATCACATCACAACATAATACTGTGCTTACAGTTCTGAAGGAGATAAAAACAAGGGGGCCTGTTACAAGGGCCTGTTTAGATATGTGGCAGGTTTGTGCCTATTTTAAGATTGAGTGTTATTTAAGGACAAGCCAAGAGATAACTCACTATGATGACTCACATAATTACAGTTCTGAAAGGACAAAAACACATGGTTTCCTATGACCAATGAAATATCATGGTTTGCCCATTTAGAGTAAAAGTACAATTTTAAAGGACAACCAGCACACAGACACAAACTAAGACAACAGCATTACCCCAGACCCTGAAATACTGATGCTGAGCCACTTACCTGAGTCCCACCGTGCTCCCGTTCCTGTGTGCACAGGACACCGTGCGACTCTGGTATCCCACCTGGATGTCCCAGAAGGGACTCTCCTGCCTGTTGAGCCGGTTCCTGGTCCGTTTCTTCTGGATCAGCTCCCTAGTATCAGGGTCTTTGACCCCAGGCCTCTCCCTGGCCCCCCCTTTACCCTTCCTACGTTTGGCCTGCCGCACCGGCCGGGAAATGGGGAGAGAACAGGACGTCCAGGGCCCCACCCTGAGGCTGTACACCCCCTCAGGCCCCTTACAAGGCCCTGGCTTACAGGTCTGGAACTCGGTCAGGTTGGGGCAGGCGGAACCCCCGAAGAGCGGAGGCACCAGGACACTGCGCACCCGGTTCTTTAGGACCGGTTCCACAGGTTTTTGAGCAGGACGTCCAGGGGGTGAACTCAGACACTACACAGTCCTGAGGGCAGGGGATGAGGCAGGCCTGCTCTAGTCGAGGCTTGGGCTCAAAGTACTCACAGATGGTGTCCTCTCCGGGAGACTCGTCGGACTTTAGTATGCAGCCCACCTCCCGAGTCTGAATGCCCTCCTCACCCCCATTGCATACGTATGGCCGCATGCCCCCAAAGGTCCTTGCTGACACGGACACACACTGGTTCCAGGCACCCAGTTGCCAGTCGTAAAGGTCCTTGTGCCAGTCACACACACGGAAGCAGTTCTGCTGGTTGGAAGGCCGCTGGGACTGGTCACAGTTGGTGTGGAGGGTGGTCCAGCCGTCCACATGGGCACACCACACAGCCCGACTCTGGCTGCCTCCTGGGCCACAGTCACTGCCCATGCATCTGCCCCATGGCCCTTGGGAACACAACACAGACAGGGTTAAAATAACATTGAAATAGGCAAGAATTAGGAATTTTAACATCAAATGGTAAAGTGGATATAGTGTACACTATACAGTATATCAATTGATGGCAAATTGATTATTTTAGGGCTTACTTGATCAAATTGCATTAATGTACTTGGTGATGAGGGAATTTAGTGGTACAGTGGTAGGGTTCTGGGGCGGTAGTTTATGGATCATTTGGAAAAAGCAAACCATACAAATATCAACCAGGACGTAGAATTAACCCACATCCGCAGGCGCAGTGGACGGATCGATGGAGACCAATAATGTCATAAAGAACCCCGACCACGCCTTCATACCCGCCGACAGAGACATACAGCACATTTACAATTCATGCACTAAAAGATTAGTACATCAGCTATTCGACTATAGCTCCCCTTTCAGCTCCACGTTATTACTCTGAATGAAGTCTCCATTGCAGCCGTAACACGAGAGCTTTCTCTGGCTTTTAGCCCCACACCAAACCTCATCACACTAAAAAAGGTGCGGCTTAATAGCAGTGTTGTTCATTGAGTCATTCAGCTCAACCTAATCCGTGACCATGTTGTGCTCTGACACTGTTATCCACAGGCTAGTGATAGCACAGAACAACCGAGAAAGAAGAGGAGACTAATGGACAGCTTCACCTCACACCAACCCCTTCCATCTACAGCCAATTGATTGTGTTAGAGCGTGGCCTCAGGCTGAGTGGTATCCGGGTGAGGGTGCCTTGTGTTTACCCATGATGCCCCATGAACCGATTGCCCCCCTGTGGAGGACAAAGGACACTAGTCTGGATGAAACAGGCTGAAACATTTCCTGCAATTATCAGACGCAAATGCCTCAGATGACAGCCTATTAGTGGACTCATCTCCTCTCTCAGCTGCTGATCTTGCTGGTAGGAACTGGCTTCAATCAGCGTGTCAAGCATGTCCACAGAAGCCTCAAAGCACATCACACATGGCTGTTTTATTTCCCCCTATATCAACACAAGATCAATGCCCTGCTGTCAGACTACACATGTATCATATATAGTTGTGATTCAGGGGATGTCTGGACATCCGTTGGCTACCGATCAGATTGGGGTTTATTTAATAGCCTTTTGAAATGGGGTGTCTGGGGTTTTCGGCACAAAAGAGGCAGGGGGTAAACTATCTGGAGCATTCCCAAGGCTTATCCCTATATGCTGTTTGCCTGAGTAAATGTAACCGTAGCAAAATGATTTCACCAATAACAAAAGGAGCTTCCTTTGAAGTTTTGTTCAACACATGGTGTGAGCGGTGGGATCTTAGCAGTGATTAGGGTATTGGCACACCATGATGAAGACAGTATGACATGAAACACATTCATTTTGGAGCTGTAGCTACATGTCATGGAAGCCAAACTGACATCCTCTCATTGAATGCTGTTAAAAACGTGAAACAGCTCTTTAATCACAAATCATTGTAGGATAAGGTCATCCATGTTGGTCTGAGTCATGGCGTTGTGCTTGATGAAAGAATGAAGTACAGAACTAACATTTGGTATGTCAACAGTTATCAACATCAACGGTCTGTATAGTATACTATAAATTACAAACTGGGTGGTTCGAGCCCTGAATGCTGATTGGCTGAAAGCCGTGGTATACCACGGGTATGACAAAACACTGCTCTAATTACGTTGGTAACCAGTTTATAATAGCAATAAGGCACCTTGGGGGTTTGTGGTACATTGGCCATATACCACACCCCCTCAGGCCTTATTGCTTAAATATATAACTCAGGCGGAGATTTTTCTTTCTTAGTGATCCAATGTCCGAGGGACTTAACTGATCTCCCATAGGCTCAAGTGTACATACCCCCCTCTCTAAGCAGCAGATTAGGCTGGAGTAAGCAGTATAATATCCCCACTGTTGGAGAGCCAGTCGGATCTCTCTGTCCCCATGTGTTCATTAATGAACAGACATGTTTTGGCTCCCACAGGGTCATCCTCACTAAGGATGGGGTCACACAGAGCTGTTCACTTGGTTGTGTTTGCTTGTTATTGAGACAGGAACTGCTTACTGCCAATGTCAGGGATCATTTTGAGCTGTCCTTGCTGTCTGACAGGTGCTAAAGTGGTGGTCCTATTGCCAAGAAATCCCGGTCGTTCCTTCTGGTTTAGGCGTCTCATAGAGCACTCAAAATGTCTGTCATTCTACAGAATGTCAGGATCAGGTTGGACAAGTGTTATTATGAGCAGATTAGGTTTGCTTTATGAAAACCACTTAAAATAAAGTGCTATCACATCTCAGATGGCCAAAGCTATAAAAATAACTGTAAAATTAAAGCAAGCCAAGGACCTTGTATCCCCTAACTACCATCCCCAACTCCCAATAGAGTCTAGTTGCAGCACATAGTGAAATGGAATACAAAAGGCCCTCTTAAATACAATGGCACATAACCCTTGGCAGAGATGAACGTCAACACATTGAACATGCCATGTTGAGCCACTGTTAAACCCAGTAAAGCAATTAGTTAGCCAAAAGGTCTACAAACAATCTAGACAAAAAGCTTGCAAACAATCTTATGAGCATTACGCAAGGCCATACTATGCATCCCTTCAGAGAGACAATGGAAAGACAAAGGATGAAGAGACATTCTCCACATAGTCCTAAGGGTTAGTACAGAAGTCTGCATTTGAAGAGAATCCATAATACGTTCTTAAATTACTAAAGTATGGTCAGACACTTAATTTCACTTCCAAATGAACATTGCCCGTTTTTAAATAAACAACACCAAATTGTAAATCATGGGTTATAATAAAAAAGAGAAAAAGATGTCTGAGGGGAAGGAGGAGACCAGAGGCTACCACTTAATGTCTGCTGAAAAACTATGAGCTGCTTAACATTCATGGATAATTACCAACCCTGTGTTCAGTGTGATCTGTGCCCTTGGCCATGTTTCGCTAAGCTACAATCCATTGACTAAAGCTCTTCCTCTCACAGTTGACCTGAATGTCATTAGCTGGAATTCCACAATGATGCTTCCATGGTTTAAAGGACTTTTTGATGATTCTGATTCATCAAGCACAACATACAGCACTGCACATAACTCTGAGGCAGACTTTCGATTTAACCCATACAATGTTAAACAGTTTCCTCCATTTAATTATTATTTTTCACAAATTGGAAACATTGTGCAGGCTCTGTGTCATTATTGATGCCATGCCACCTTTATGAACTAGTGTCATGGTTACCACCTTCTAGTCATCTCATTGGATTCAGCTAATTAAAGCAGAACACTCATTTCAGTGACAAATAACAAATCGAAGGTGGAATACTGCAGCTTGTAGGAGACAGCCTCATTTGTCACTCCTGCAGTGACAAGACATGTGTGCCATTCTGCACAAACCACCCATTCATGTGTGTGTCAAAATCCAACTGTCAATGTATTCAACAGCAGACAAATTTCAAAAGGGCAAACGCAATGGTCCATGCTCCACTTAGAAATCTGTCAGGAAATATGTCCAAGCTGTCAGTAACAGTAAGAACGCAATCAATAAACCTCATAATTTCTTTGACGCTCCACCATCAATTCAACAACCTGCCAGAGTCATAAAGGTTTCCCTCTGCATGCTAACCAACTTCCTATGATTTCACTAGCTGCCACTAAACCAGAAAGCACAATAAAAACAACATGCTTGAGTACGTATGAACACTCCAGTAAAATGCCTTTTGTTCAATGCAGCCCAAACAAACAAAGCAACCACGGCCCTATTGCTCTCCTCACGCTAATGAAACATTTACAGAAACACCACATACACTGCACTCCAACACATGGATCTGGTATGTGTGTTGTGGGAGTTTATGTTGTTGCCCAAATGTTCTCTTGCCGCAGTTTGAGGCAGGATGTTATGGGAGGGGCAGTCAGTGGCCTTATAATGGGATAGGGATGGGAGTGTCCCTCCTGCTGTGCAGTGATTTTCAACATGCCCATCATGCAGCTCTGACAGGCGCGCTTTATGAGAACACAGGGAAGGTAAACCACATAAACAGTAAATCCTACCTCAATTACTCACAATCCACTGAATCTTATTTCAATGAAAGGGAGAGAGTTATTTTCAGATAACACACGTATGTTATCTATTGTAATGTGGTCGGACACAGTAATTGGACCAAACAATCTACCATTCATAAAATTGGTATGTTGACATTTGAAGTTCAGAGGTTAGACATTTTTGCTTGATTACTTCCACGAATTCTAACTGATTCTGTCTTTTCATTTGGGAACAGACAGCAGTGTTTTTCTCAAACAATAATTACAGAAAGGATAAATGGCTGGAGGACATGATGAACACATTTCATAGAGGAATAGATTTCCATTCTGAAAAGTAATAGAATGGAATGGAATTGTGCATTTTGATTCATATTTAGAACATGCAGCACTGTAGCCTATATACTGATCACTTTATCAGATTAAACAAGGTGTAAAAACAGTACTAGGGTCATCTTTATTTGTACCAAAACACAAAATGTAAACCACTGAAATATTAAATATAATCCAAAAAAGAATGAAATAGAGGGCATCGCCACAGGTTTTAGTTAGATATCCTATTCCATTTAAAACACTTGAAAGCCACCGCAATACAAAAACAAAGCCCCTGAAATTATGCCAGCAAAACTGCATTTCAAGCAAAAGAGATCACAGTATTGAAACAAAAAGGAAGAATAAGACAAATCACAGAGAGCGAATGTGCCCCTTGGTGCTTGGCACTGCAGTTAAATATTATATGATGCAAGTGTGGAGCACATTGTTGACTCCAATTTAAAAAGGCACCTCCATGGAAGACTTCCTTGGTGTGGTAGAGGATGGGGGGTGAAAGAGGGTTTCATTGCCTATAATCTGCCCTTAAAAAAAGCCAGCTATTAGTCTGCGAGGAGGAGTTGCACTGGCAGATTTGACATGAAGTGAGCTGGGTTACGAAAACAGTTGCATGTGTTGCTAGGCAGCCTGCACGGATACCATGAAGAGGGGCAGGGCATCTTGTTTACATTTCTCCTTTTGTAGGGAAAATCATACTGTAGCTGTTATTGTTATAAAACCTGGGGACATATACAGTCCATACAGGCATATACAGAATATCATATGTCTAATGTTATGCTAGTGCTTTATGTGACCAACTCTTTGCTACTGTATCTGCTATTGTTGTGTTAGTCCATTTTTTAAATCAATGTTTGGGTTTAAAGTGCTCTTGGCATGAACGTGTGTACCAGTACACCTTTGTTAATGTGAGTATGTTTGTGTTGTATGTGTGGATGTGTGGGTGCATGCACAAGTGGGCGTGTCTGCATGTGCCATTTTCCCATTTGATTGCCTGCACGTGTGTGTGACTGTTGCTCCAGGGGCAGAGATTTGATAATGTACCTGCCACTTTATTGAGATAAATGCTCCAATCACATGGGGAGATTTCCCACCCTCTGGAGCGCCTCTGCCAAAGATTAGATTACTGCTTCCTATGATGCATCATTCTCTACATCTCAATTCAATAGTAAAGTAACACAACACTGGGAAACTTCTTAGAATAAGGATTTGCAACTGGCACTGAGGAGGTGTCTGCCAAACTAACACAAATGTTCTAAAATGCAGCCAAATACAGCACAATTAAGAGCAACAAGATGGTTTAAAATTGTCATTTTATAGCTGACAGTCCACAGCAGGTCATGGATGAAAGTAGAAATAAGTGAAATGTTAATTATTCTTGTGTGGGCCGGAAACTATTACTAATTATTACTGCTACAACAAAGCATAAGTTTAGAGAACAATACAATTAGGAAGTCACCGCTTAGAAATTACATTAATCCTATAATCTTATAATGCTCCCTTTACAGAGCTCTGAAGACAAAAGACTAGTAATTCTTAATAACACTTAGAGGTTATTCTCTATGATCCCAGCAAAGGTTGAAAGTTCATATCAACTAAGTTACATTTGTTGATCATATGACAGGTAACTTTAAAGGGGACAAACCATCTGTAAAGGCAGTGGGAATGTTTACAGTACTATACTTCAGACTAAACACTGCTCTTCAAAGGTCGTTTTGGCAGTCAAAGGTCAGCGTGCCCTTTCCACCCCAGGCACTAATCATAGATTAGACAAAGCTTAGAGTTGCTAACATCGATCCTGATCAGACAGAGACGTTGACATGTTAGTGTAATCAAGATCTTTGTTTCGATCAGGACACGAGAATAGGCTGAGCGGTCCTCAATTCACAACAATGTCGTGTGGATCCACAAAATCATACTGTAATAATAATAAATAATTTGCCATTTAGCAGACGCTTTTATCCAAAGCGACTTACAGTCATGCGTGCATAATTATTTATTTTTTTGTGTATGGGTGGTCCCGGGGATCGAACCCACTACCTTGGCGTTACAAGCGCCGTGCTCTACCAGCTGAGCTACAGATACTGTGACCTGTTACGATTGAGAGGGATCTAAGATTGATGTTAGTAGATTAAACATGTTTCTTATCAATTAATGGCTATATAATACAACAGAAATGGCAAGAAATTGTTGTGTTGGGCTGATAATTAAACCACAGCTGGGATGCTTGTTCTTCTAATTAGTGCAGGATGGGAAAATAACACTTCTAGGACACTAGTGACTCAACTTGGAACACAAGGTGTGGACTCTTTCCTGGGCCTATGGGGATCCCTCTTGGATTGTGATCCAGCAGCACTACTCTGTTGGACTGAGTAGGAGTGTGGGAGGTGTTGGTAGAGAGTGGATACCCCAGCCAAACCTAGCACAGTACTACCCACACACACACACACATACACACACACACACACACACCTACAGTCGGCCAAAACAGACAGACTGCACTCACACTTAGGCCGACCCACAGCCTTCTGTCAACTCTTTTCATGTTTGCTTTCATTTCATATCAGCTGTGAGATGTACGATGTAAACAGCAATAACAACACACCTTCGGGGTGAAAGACATTAACTTCACAATCTTTCGTATCATGTCTCCTGATCCAAAACGAATTACAATTGATTGTACTTACATGAAATTCTACTCTTAAAAGCCCTCAAACCATTAGAATGTGTTTGTGTGAATACTACATCTGAATGTCAGATTATGTCATACTGTACATACTGTATAGACAGGGCATGTAAGCCCTGACATCAAGAATAGAAACGTGTCACACTATAATTCACCATAATTCAATTGAACCATCTAAAGCCAGAGGACCTAGAGCTTATCACTCAGAATACAGAGACAAAATGCCAGATGACAGATGCAAAGGCCTTTGAGTGCAGGAAGTGTGTGCCAAAGAGAGTGGTTTACCCTCACACCTGTTCTTTCTCAGGGCAAACTCATTCTACCTATGAATGTATTCATTCTAAAACCGTTCAACAGCAAGGGTCGGGTAGAGGTAGCTAGTGGTCCCTCCAGCGCTAATGATTTTTGGGGGAAACGGTTTCAGAGAGCATGACGGTGAGATTGAGGGAGGTTTCGCTGCAGTCTCTCAGCAAAGTGTTGAGAAGTTTACTGAGATCTCAGCTTTCAAATTGACAGCGACACTGACTGCAAGTCCACTGGGAGGTCTTGTTAGGATGTTGAGAAATAATTGTATATTATGTTTACAAGAAAAGCATATAGTGAAAGGGCAAAGCAGTGATGATAGGTTTATCGTCCTCTGACTTCTTTGTCGATATTTCTGGATGATTATATTCAGTGTTCTGCTCATTCTCTAGGTATCAATCTGGCTGGGCAATTGACTCAAAATGTTTTAATGTGTTGCTTGCTTGGATTGGTCAATCACTTGTTGAGTCCAATTCTTTCCAAATGAACACTTATCCTCAGATCCCAAAAACACTGTGATTGAAATGGTTAGTGAGTTTTCACCAAGCATCTGTACCACTGATTCATTACGGTAGATAGAGCTTGTTAGT